TTGAATAAATGAGGTAGTGCTCACAAATAGATGGTGCTAATATATTTTCATAAGGCACACTTCATTTGTCTAGCACTCTGGGAGGCAGTGCTGGGTCTTGCCTTCATGCCCCTTAAAATCTTTGAAATAGTGGAAAATAAACTGTTTCAATGTAAGGCAAAAGGAATTCTGGCAACAAAGCTAAATTTCCTGTAATACACTACAGCTGTATTCACCCTCTGGTTTTGTAGGGCAGAGTTCAAGGATCCTCACTCTATGGATAAAAACAAAAAATAGGACTGTATTTGATCACAAGAAACCATGCACACTTAAAGCGTGTAGGAGACTCCTGGTGTGAGTGAAAGTAACATCTAAACTTTTAAAAGTTTCAATACGTTCTTGCCTTTGTCTCCTGTTGCCTATACATTCCAACTAGCAAACTATGGTGCTTCCAGCTGGATTCTTTGGGCCATTGGTAGCTATTTTCTTCTTTCTGAAGAGCTGGTGGTGGGCTGGTTCTCTGATGATGCAGCTGATTCATTATTAAGCCGTTTTTCATTCTGTCCTAGTATAGACAGACTCCTTTTCTCAGAGTGATTCCAACACTCCAAGTGCTCTGATGCACTTAATGTTGTGCTTTTACTTCAGATGTGCTTTGCACAGTTTCTCCTGCTGATCTTGGCCATCAAATGACTTTTGTTGAAGAGAATACTTGCAGATCAGTGTGGAATTTCTGTTGGCAAGCATGGAGGGAAAGATTGTGTTTCAGAGGTACCTATAGATCTCAGAATCTTCCACTTGGAAATGGCCTCAATGTAAAAGAATTACGTTACAAATACAAATTCTTAAGACCAGGGTTTCACTAACAAAAACTGGCACAAATGAATGGAATTAGAGGGCATCTAGTTTATCATTTAAGACCTTTATCAAGGAGATGCAGGGGAAAAAAGTTCTCTTGGAATCCTGATACAAAAAAAATATTTTCTCAAAATCAAAGAGATTCTTATCCCAGTATCATAAGAGTTAAGTTCCTATGACTTCCCTTGTCCATTCAATCATATTTAATGAATATTTATCTGAGTGATGACTAAAAGAGACATATTACTCAGAATGAGAATGTTTTCCTCGTTAGTTGTTCAAAACACTGAGATCAGCACAAGTGAAATCTATATTGTTAATATGCTGCTGGGGGCAGTACCCATTTGCCAAGATAATTTATATATCATTTGTATCTGCCTTGCTCCAGGCTGGCCCTCTCTTGATTAGACTGGCAGTGTCTGTGCAGCACGTAGAATTGAGCTCTCCTCGTCCTTGGTTGCTCCACTTCTGTTCATACACTTCTAGAAACTGGTCATTTATTGTTTTACCAGTTAATATTCATCCCTCATTTTCACTGATTCTGGAATGTACACAGTCCATGAATAGGAATGTGGTTTAGTCATATGAAGTGTGGCATCTGTGTTGTTGCTTTAGCAGTTATTTTCGCTGAAAAACTAAGTTAAAATGAAGGAGATTTGTCTGCTTGCTCTTTGCTGCTCTTTGGGGTCAGGTTTTAGGAAAGACAGGTCCTGCTTGCCTAAACTGATCTCCTCTTATGATTGAGTCACTCACTTACTGGACGAGGAAATGTTGTGGATATTGTGTACCTTCAGCAAGGCCAAATGCTGCACCTGTCTCTTGACAACCCAAAGCTGCCTGGTGAGAAAGGACTTGGGTGTTCTGGTATCCAGCAGCTGAGCATGAGCCAGGGTGTGCCCAGGTGGCCAAAAGCCCAAAGGAAGCCCAGCTTTTATCAGCAATAGTGTGCCAAGCAGAACCAGGGAAGTGGTCACTGCCCTGTACTTGGCACTGGTAGGGCTGCACTCTAAATCCTGTATAAAGTTTTGGGTCCCTCTTTACAAGAAAGATGTTGGGGAGCTGAAGCATGTCCACAGAAGGGCCTCAAAGGTGATGAAGGGACTGGAGCAAAAGTCCTATGAGGAGGAGTTGAGGAAGCTGGAGTAAAGGAGGCTTGGGGGGACCTTATCTCTCTCTCCACAACTGCCTGAAAGGAGGGTGTAGGGGCCAGGTGGGGATTAGCCTCTTCTCCCAAGTAACAAGTAACAGAGCAAGGGCAAATGGCCTCAGGTTGTGCCAGGGGAGCCTTAGGTTGGATACGAGAAAAAATATCTTCACCAAAACGTGAAACGTTCGAACAGACTAATGATGTTTGAGGCACAATCCCTGGAGGTATTTGAAAGTTGTGTAGATGAGGCACTTGGGGACCTAGTTTAGTGGTGAACTTGACAGTGATAGGTTTATGGTTGAACTTGATGATGGTCTTGATGGTCTTTTCCAACCTAAATAATTTTTTCTTAATGTTTTTTTCCTAAACTCTACAGGGACTCTGCAATACTTTTTGTCATCACTGTACTTAAAAGTAAATGAGAGGAAAATGACCTGCCCTGTCAAGACAGGGTGGTGAGGACAAGGATTTATTTTTTAAATTTCAAGGGCATCTTCTTTTCTTCTTTCCTGCCTTATTATCTTTTTTTTTTTTTTTTTTTTTTTTTTTTTTTTAATATATTATTCCTGTTTATTTTCTGCTAGAAATGTGTTTGATTTTGAAAGCTCTCTTGGTAGTTTTGATATGCTAGCTATAAAAAAAGAGATCTAAAGGGTATTATCTTAAAGCTACTACTGTTTTGGGATCCCATTTAAGCTTTCTAATTGCAGAAACCTCACTGAGTTTTAAGGGTTTCATAAAATCAAGACCCTTTGTCACTATAATTGACTGCTTATGAATAAACAACAGTACCCATCTAACTGAAATCAGACCCAGTTGAATATAATCTTGATGTAGAATTAAATCTTCAAATTGATGTAAAGTATAACAGAGATACATAGATACAATTGTAGGGAAAAATGGTTTAAATTATTATAAGTTTAAAATTAAATAGATGTTCTCTATTTTTTTTTTATAAATTCAGGTTTGAGACTGATTAAGAATTTTATTATGGAAATCAAATTGACATATTTGAATTAAGTTCTGTAAGTCTTCTTTTATTCTTAGACGTGAGTTCTCAATGGAGACCAGGAAACCATCATTTCAATAATGCTTAATGGGTTTTGAAGAATCCAAAATTTAAATAGATGTAGCTCACTGTCAGTCAGGATAATAATCCTAAACTTTGTTACCAGTTTTCACTGTCTTTATGAACCCAGTTTGGGGTATTTGAAGTGTGTTGTGTTTTCTTCCTGGTTTGTGCTATCTCGAGTCCTGTCAATATTCAGAGTTGCCCATCCTCAGCAGTCTTGTGTACTGAAAATAAATGAGCTAGGATGTCACAGAGATTAGAACCACTGCTGTCCTTTCCCCCGTGAAGGCATTGCTCTGCTGAGAATGCCAGAGAACTGAGTTTTCTAGAAGCCTTGCAGTCTTCTGGAACCTGGCAGAGTTGCCTTCGGAAAATTGTGACAGTTTCCTGGCTGAATGATTTTTCTTGATCAGTCTTTAGATAAAGGAAGGGAGGCAGATGTTTTGCATCAATTTTACTTGTACACTTCTTTCTGTAAAGGGAAGAGGCATAAAGTGTTGGCTTAAGGCTTTACATTCTGTGTGCAGAAAACTGCAGATGCTCAAATCATCTACTAAAACGAAGTGAGGGTTTTGGTGTCTTGGCAACTCTAGTCATTAGAATTTCTCTAAAAAAAGCAGGGTATGTTGGGGTGATACCAGAGAATCAGTATGTACTTGTCTAGAGAAAGTTTAAATACCAGTCTGCAATTGCAGAGAGAGAGAAAAAGAAAGAGAGAAAGAAAGAGAGAAAGAAAGGAAAGAAAGAAAGAAAGAAAGAAAGAAAGAAAGAAAGAAAGAAAGAAAGAAAGAAAGAAAGAAAAGAAAGAAAAGTTTAGTATCGCTCTATGCTATTGTTTAATGATGTATTATTTATCATTTATCTCATAGTTGTTCAGGATTTCGTTCCCGAAGCAAAATTATTATCTGCAAAATTCTGTTTTTTCCTGATAAGTTAATTTCAACCCTCATGATTGAACAGATGCCTGAAAATCTGCTGGGGATAAAAATTTATATTTTGAGAATGAGAAGAGAAATAACAACACAAAATGTACTAGTCCAGTGCTGGTGTTGTAACTTTGGGGAAAAGCCAGCAATTCAACAGTTCTGAAAATATGATAGGCCTAACAGTAACAAGGGAGTATTAAAATTGTACATACCAAGGAAGGAAAAGGGAAAAGCCAATCCTCCCTTACCCCACCAAGAAGAAGCCAGAACACCAACTTGTAGCCTAAAAAGTTAGTTATTCTGTTGTGAAGTCATTCTCTGTTGCTAAAAGTTAAATTTTTGCAGATGGATATGCAAGATGTTTCTTACTTTATGTGCTGTTCCCCTGGAAAGCATAAAAATGAATGTTTAAAAAGAGTTTCTTCGTAGTTTTGAGTATTTATGTTAGTTAGGTGTCCTGGTGCAATTCCAAATACAAAATTACATTTCCAGCCCAACATAGGGGGAAAAATTTTAGAAGATTTATTTGGATCTAGTTGCTGTTTATCATCTACCATAATTTTTGAGTGTGATTAACTGATTAACTTAATTTTACAACTTCATATTTTCTACTAAGAAGCAAAAGAACCCATCAAACCAAAAACTTGTACATTTCTCTCCTATGGGTCCTACATATGGGTAATACTACTATAACTCTTGCATTTAAAGGAAAAAACACTTGCATTTTTTCCAATTACTTCATGCATGGTTTTACTACTGCAAATGTAGATGTTAAAGCAAATGCTAACGCTAAACTAGTGGAAAAACAGTCATGTTGGCAACCATTACTATACATGACTGTTAGTTTGCTTTTATAAATACATTGTGTTTCCAGGGGACATCGCCTATAAGAAATTTTTCAGTTGCATGCTGTTAGCAAATTAAACAGCACTATATTGTTACATTGTCATGTTCCATTACTGAATATGTGATGGCAAGGTAATGCATTCTGATCTTCTCTTTTTCACTCTTTCCCCAGTGAAAAGGCAGAGTCTGAAGGTTCAGATCAACGCGACAGATGACACTGTTTGCATGAGGTATCTTCGACCAAGTCAAAGCACCAAACTAGAAGGTTTTGTCCTGGGTTATGGAAGCAGCTTCTTTTCTAATCAGTACATTCCTTTACCTTCAGAAGGAAAAAACTACTTAACAGAACTTGGTAAGTCATATTTGCTTTGCATGCTGTTGTTGTAGAGAATTATGGGAAGCGACTGAGGAGAATATGTTCACCTAATTTTTTGTTTTATTGGGCTGTTACTCACAGTTTCTTTGTGTTTGTTTAAGGTTGCTGTCACGAATTTCAATGGAAAGTGGAATAAGCAGATCCTTCAAGGAGAGCAACTAGTTCTTATTGTCTGGAAATTTTGCTTACTGGTATTTGTTTTGGGGATTTTCGTTTTAGTGAGAGCCTGTACTATACTTGAACACATCACCCATCAAATGGGATGATTTGCTTAAAGATGCAGCTAGAAAGTAGAACTTGAGGGAAATATGCATGCTTTTACAAACATTAGAAGAAACAATGTGAGTCTTGAGAATTGTGTGGTTGATTCTTTTTGACAGAAACATTCATATCAACATGATGCCTCTTCTTGTAGGGATCTACTCCAGTATTGTATGTTATAGATTAACCTCTAACTACCATGTCAGAAGTTACTGATGGAATTCCATGAACTGTTTTATGGAAGAGATTAAACCATGTCAAGAATGCTATATCCTGCTATCTGGAATAGGGAGAAGGAAGAATGAATTATTAGAACATTGATTTATCAGGATTTGACCTTTTGAGAAATATGTTGAATCCCTAAAGATTTTTCTATTGATTTCTTTAAGTTTTTCTATCCTAAAATGAATCAATTCACCCTCATCATTGTAATGCTTGTGATCTTGGTGTAAAGCAAGGGGGAGGAAAGGATGCATGAGCACAGAAGTAATAATTGCCATTGGTTTTCTTGTGTTCAGTTCAGGCTGCTGTGGGTGTCTGCTCCAGGCTGAAAACTGCAGAATAAAAACTGAAAAAAAAAAAAAAATATGTTGGACACAGAATAATTAAGATATTGGAGACTGATAGGATCACTATGGCAAAGGTTAACTTTCCTTTTCCTAGGTTGATACTCCTAGGTTGGTACAGGGATCCCCCTGTAATTCTATCACCCATCCAGTGTTTGACTTCATAACCATTGCTTAAGTTGGGTCTGGCTTACCTGATTCATCCTATGCGTAACTTTTGAATCAGTTCACTAAGAATGATGTACAGGATTTTCTGTAGTATATTGTGCATTAGGCATAAAAATGCCTGTATCAGGAGTAGTGAGGATTAATTTTTGAGGATTAATTTTTTCAGGTATTCTGAGATCTTAGGGAAGAACAAAATAAAAGACTGAATGTAACATTGCATAAAATCATTTTCCCTCCCTATGTAATAGAAGCTTTTATATCTAATGTTTTGCAAATCTGAAAGCTCAAATTTACCTGGAATTTCAGGAATATTGATATTTTGTAGCTTTAACCATAACAGGTAATGGCTGGAATCTAGGCACCTTTCTTTAGTTCCACAGCACATCAGAGCACTGACCATATGCATATCCATTTGCTGTAGGGTGTCTGGAGAGGGAAAAGCACAAATGTTGAGGAATACTCTTCCTTTATGATTCTTTCAAAGGAGAATAGCATCAAAATTTTATCTTCCTCATGCTAATAGAAGTTGTCAGTTTCCTTGTGACAATAAATCTATGCTTGTGACTTCTGAATGTCCAGTAACTAAACATGCAAAATGCAACATAATATAGATAGCAAGACAAGCATTTCTAACCTTCAAAAAATGTCATCTTTGAAAAGACAGGAGTAAAAGAAGTTATCAGCAATATGTACTTCAAGTTGCAAACATTTATTCGAGGAATTACCAGTACGTTTATTGGAGCTGTTGCTTTTAGTTGAGAGATTTAGGGTTAGATTGAGTGCCTTGGGGACTTGTTTATTGGAAACAGAGAGTGCATAATCTTTCCCATTTCACGAATATTAAACACAACATTAAATTGCAGCTTTGACTTTGCTTTCCAAATATGTATGGAACACGAGCTAAAGCAATAAACAACAGTTGTGCTTTTGGCTCTACTTTAGAGTGACTTGTGTGGCAGAAATGAAGACAGAAATGATTGCTAGCACACTCCCTCCTCCCCACCATTATTAGGGATCAGTTGTTGGCAGAAACTGGAAGAACTGCAGAATGGTTCTCAATTCTAGGAACAATGATTAAGTTTTATTGTGGCAGCCAGAGACCTCAGCTCTAGCATACACTTTATATTGATTTTAGAAAAAGCAAGGTGTTATAGAGGGACAATGAAAATACTCGCAAGAAATATGCTAAAGATATAAATCCCCTAGACCCTATTGCTGAAAAATCTCAGATTATCTTTGTACTTCTGGTACATCTCGTATGTGATGAAGTTGGCCTAGTATGTTGTCTTCATATTAAAACAATATACTTATAAATTTCACACTCAAAGTTGTCTGTCCCATGTTCTAGATATTCTAGTGATCCAAGTGCCGCTGCACACTCTGAAAGTAGTGTTCAGTGTGTTCCACATGTTTTTCCACAGTCAAAGCAACTAGGTTTATACAAAAAAAAACATTCATTTTTGCCCTGAGAACTCCTTTTTGGTCCTGTCGTGCTTGGACTTACCTGAATTTTACAGAAAGCCGGTGAGTTTATAGGCTTCCCTGAACAGTGGTAGGTGAGGTTTTTATTGAGCAGAATGTGGAAGAAGAGGTTCCCAAATATGAACATTTATTATGGTCTGTTTAGATCAAGACTAATGCAATTTAATACTTTCTCCCATGTCAGTTTTAGTGGTTCGTGGAAAAAGAAACCTTTCCCAGTCAATTCAGGGACTATGATCACACCTTAAATTAGTTTGTAGTGAAATAAAGATTAGAAATGGATGTTTAAGGGCATTTTCAACTGTCTAAAAAGTATGTATGTTTTTCTAATACATTAAGGAGCAATGCTGTGGAATATAATCCCTGGGAGAGAGATTAGATCCAGGAAAATGGAAGATCCATGAAAGTGGATCTTGTTCTGGTAGCATTAAAATTGTTTATTCTGTGAAAATGTTTAAGGAAAAATCATACAGATACACAATCAGCTGTAAACAATACTAAAAAAAAAAAAACAACTTTAATTTATGTGTTAGGCTAATGTAAAAAACCATAAACCACACATACTTCGCATATAAGCCATTATTCCCTTCCTAAAATATGTCAGTCCTTTAAAATGTAATTTCTGCTTTCTAACAAAGAGTGTAGATCTACAAGTAGAATGAAGCGCCTTGGAGAAATTTCCACATTTCCTTGATTTAGTTCTTCATCCCTGGTTTTGTTAATGGAGCAGCATAATCGGTATTCTGTTTGGGATAATTGCCCCCAGTTGGAACTGGAGTATGGAAGATGACAATATACACAACAATATATATTTGTAAGGCCCATAAATTCCATATGTCCAGCACACCCATTGTATATTAATATGAAATTTATTGTCAGCTTTTTTGCTGGGTCACACACCTTTTATGATCCTGTTAACAGGACGCTTGAAGGCAGCAGATGTATTAATTTATAAAATTACATTTCTATAGATGTATATATTTTTAAAGAAATTATTAAGGACATGACATGTCCTAGGATTTTCAGAAGGAAGATATGCTTTTGTACATGTGACATTCACCTACATTTCATCCATTAAAATATTCAGCATCTCACTGCAGTAATTCTTACCTTAAAATATGTTTTCCCTTCATTTTGCAAATTATATAGTAATTGAGGCAGCAATTGGATAACATTATCAATAAATTGGGATCTGCCTGCAGAGGGCATGGGCAAAGAGAAAAGGATCCTGTTGGATTTCCTGAACTTGTGATGAGTTTCTGCTGGCAGCAAAGTCTTGAGCAGCTTCATGCTCTAGTAGATAGATCTGAACATACTGAAATGTCAATGTCAATGACAATGACAATGACGAGGCAGCAGCAAAGTTTGTTCCCAAGAATTATGCCTCTGTTTCAGGATACCAGATGTAGTTTGTACATTATGAGCTCACATGACAGTAAACAACATGATTTTTGGTCATGAAAGCTATTCAGTGTCAAAAGATATCAAGAGGTTTATTCCGCTGGACTAATAGAAAGGTGAATGGACCCATCCAAAAGCTCTGGGCTTGACTTAAAACTTTATCTTATTTTTTTCAGTCTTCCTGACTTGTAAAGAAAGTATTTGCTTAAGAGATTTGTGGTAGTCTTTCTTAACTTGGCTAGGAAGATTGCAAGTCAACCTCCTAGAAATTGTTGCTACTGTTGGAGAAACCCAAAAATTTGGGTGGAGAGAGGAAATTTTTGCAAGAATGAACAGAAATTACTTAACAGAATGAACAAAATTATTTTCCCTTTCAGTTTCTAAAACCAGCTCAAAGTTGGGCAATACTTTTGCTTTTCCTTTTCTTGTACAAGATTGTACAGTGTAAGAGGAGAATGTATTGGTAATCCCGCTTCATAACAATGCCAGTAAGTGTTGTGTGAATTTCCTGTTTATGTATGTATATGGCAGGCTACTAGTACCACCTTGAGCACATTTTAGAAAGTGTAACTCAGGGGTCTGTGCTAGAGCAGTGCTTAGCTAAAAGATCTTGCTGTGCAGTTTCTTATCAGTTACCAGAAACTGGCAGTTGTATTAGCTACAAGATACCAAATAACGTGATGTTAATTCAGCATTATGTTGCCTCCTGCTAACTTACCAGGAAGCAAGTTCTCATTGCTAATGCTAGCAGAGTCTAGTGGAAGAGAGGAGCTGAGGTGTCCAGTAGATGCCCCTTCCTCTAGACAAGTGCATTGATCAGCAGCAGTTCATTCATGCCAGCCTCTTTGTCCGACTTCTCTGTCTTCTCCCATGCTTGTTACACTACAACACTTTCCATCCTCCCCTTCTTCCAACTTTGCCCTTAACAACATCCCATGGGAAGTTTTTAGCAATCCCTAAATACAGATTAAGGGCTTGCAGCCTGAAGCAAAAACTTACTTTGTTTTGCTTTCTGAATCCGGTGGTCCATGAATTGTAATAATGCATTTGTAACACTATTTTAAGATTTAAGTTCAGTTCATCAGTCAGTTCATACTTACATTGTTTTGCTTGCAAGTGCATGTTGGCTGGGCCCTGAATAGTGTGCTTGAACAGAAGCAGAATTTCCTAGCATTTTCTAGTGTATGTTAGTTGCCTGCTGCCACTGATTTGATAGATTAGCTCATGCCATGTGAAAGTAAGACATCTTTGTTAATCTGATATGTCAGTGACATGTATCTGTTACATTCTGCTCGTCTTCATAAGCTGTTAAGGTGGGTAATAGAAGCTTTATTCTTTTAATAATTATATTTATTAATATAATAGCCTATGGGGAATTACATCACTAATAATTAGGCATGGATTCATGGAGGAGCACTTCTCTGATACATGTGGGTGTTTTCCTAGAGTATTTTGTGGTTAAAGAATTGAAGGTTGTCACTCTTTGGACTTTATTTCTGATCTGAAAGGAGTTCTTAGCCAAGATATTTGTTGTTCTAGCCTTAATAAAGGGCTAGACAGTAATAGATTCAAACAAGTGGTCTTAGAGTAGCATCCCTCCAAGAATGTGTTAGGCATCAAGGAGCTACTAAGCTTTTCATAACAAATTTGCAAATGTATTTCAAACTTAACTTGCTAAAGCTTGCATTGTTTTGTAGGGATCCTTCATTTATGAGATTGTGGATCCTCACAGATGGGAGACAGACAGATCTATATTTTGCTTCTTTATCATAAATGTCTCTGTTATATATTGATTAATGTTGAAATTATTTTTGGATGCAGATGCTGGATTCATGAATCTGTGTCCAGAAATTTCAACATTTATCTTAATTACATAACTGTCCTTTTCTTACTAAATACAATTCAAAGAAAATAAGAAATATTCAGTTGCAAACAGGATTGTCTGTACTCTCTGGTGTAGTTTGCTTCTACTTGAGGTTATAATTTTATTTTTCAAACAAGCTTCTCTTCTTAAATACATTTTCATGCAAATAACTGATCTGTTCTGTGAATCATAATTACATCCAGTCAAACATCCATATTTTTATGACTGACTATCACATATACCTACCTGCCTCCTATTTCAACAATTTATCTTTTAAGCATTACAAGAATTACTGCAAATTATGGTTTTATTTATGTTCTTATATTCTGCAGAATTTTCATTTTCTTCTACTGTGTTACTCACCTCTTCCCAGATTCCTGCTTCTTACAGGCATGGATCTGTGAAATGGATTATGAATATATAAGCATAATAAAAGAGCACTGATGAAATATTTATTATTATAATGAAATATTTCCTGTAACTTGATGGAATTTAATACATGGGTGATGCAATGTTTGAACGCCCTGAAAATGAATTGAGTCATAGTAGCATCAGATGATTTCAGCATTGTGATGATGACTGATAGTCATATTTCAAGAAGACTGAATCACTGTAGAAACTCAGTAGTTTTCTGAATTTACTAAAAGAAATGTTGATTTGCAGTGGAAGACTAAGAAAGAACTCCCAATTCTAATGAGTCAGGGCTCCTTATATGATATTGAAAAAGCTCTCTGCATTTTTTAATTTCATGTGTCTTGGATATAGAATGTATATCTGCCCAGAATAAAAGCATTTCAAGGCATGTGTCTTCCTGTCCATGCATAATGCTTTGGTACTGTGCATCAAACCAATGAATTTAATTAAAATTACAGTTGCTATTCTCTTAACATCTATATAGTAGCATGGGTGGTTCTGCTCAGGAATCATGGACTCATACCTCTAAATTAAGATATAGCTTAAACACAGTACAGAAATTTATTGTTGTATCCCAGGTATTGAATGGATTTTTTAACAAATTCATTTTCTGATTTCAGTTATAATGATCATAATATTGTCTTAAGTTCAGTGGTTCTAAAGAAGTGGTACTTGTTAAACCTACCTCTTCTCTAACAGTCCTCTGTCAACATCTAGTCTCAGCCTGTTTTCCTAAATGCTTCCTTTGGTAGGTTGTATTACAGTCACAAGAGCCATGAATTCTCTGGAAAATGGGAATGTGTTGTATTCTTTATTAAGGCAACATTTGTTAAATTCACCAAAATAAAGCTTAATGAACAGCATATAGCACAAAATATTTCCACAGAGAACACTTGGTTACAGAACATAAACACCTGCTAGAACTAATGAATCCTGAAAACTGCCAGGTTTTGTAGCTGAGATGTGCAGTGAGGCATTAACAGTTTTTGTGTATTGCCATATTTTGTTTAGCAGCTAATCTCTTTCTATACTGCTGCACAAGTCATTTCAGATTTCAGCCAGAATTAATTTTTCCATTTATGGTGCAGTGAAAAACTGTTTTAAAGTATTTGAATAATTTTCTTTCACAATCCTTGGACATTTTACTGATAAATCCATAAATTTTTAGTTTTGAAGACTGGTTTTTATAGTTCTAGAACTTTCCAGGTCATGCTTTAAAATAATCCTGTTGAATACTTTGTGACAGTTATAACATTTCACAAGTGGTCAAAAATGCAGAGAAGAAAACTGGGTTTATAATACAGGGAAACCAAATTATTTTAAAGAGTTGCTTATTTCTATTTTTCAGTCTCAATACAAAAAATATCCAAGTGGTTACACAGCTCCCACATTTGTGTACCCTTCTAAATATTAAAAAAACATTTTTTGTAAATGAAGGCGTATTTGCACTTTGGGATTCCTTTTTTGACTAATTATTTTTTCCACACTGCTTTGGACAGCTGTTTTCAATGCTTATTTGGTTATTTGATGCAGATAAAACCCATTTAAAAAGACTAATTAAACAATTAAAGCACATCCATAGTATGGGTTTCCAGTGCTTTAGGTGCGCAGAATCAGTGAAGTTAAGTTAGAGTGGTTTTCCCCACTCTGGCAGAACCTTTTCAGTAGTACAGCAAGCTTTTGGGTTTTTTGGTACTGCTTTTCCTTTCTGTTTACAGAAGTCTGAGTGTAAGGGAAAAATGAATGATTTCTTAGCAGTTCTGTTTAGTTGGTAGAATTCAAGGTGCCTGAAATATGCAGGAAATTCAGTCTCTTATTTGTACTTATGCATTTAGATAAGTACAAATATAGATATATTAGTACAAATATAGATATATTATATTTAGATATAAATATATCTAAACTAGAATAAGAATTCTATGGAGAGTAGTCCTGTTTTTTTAAAAGCCATAGTAAAAATAATTTTGGTCAGTAGAGAGTGAGCCAAATTCTGCCTGTGGATATCTTGCTGGAATATCCTAGGACAACTTCTCTCATGTTGCAGTTAAGAGGGAATCAATTTTGGTTTTAAATAATTAAGAAGGGCAGAAATCTCTGACATCTGGTTTTAAGTGTAAGGGAAAATCTTATTTCTGAAGAGGAATTCCCCAAACTAAAATAAATATCTCAACCTTGTTTTAATTGAATCATTTATCATTTTGAACTCAATGAATTTTAAAGAAAACAGCCTAAAGATCATGAAGATTGGACAATGTGTCAAGAATTCACTGACTATTTGACTTTTTGTTATTAGTTTCAGATTAATCTGTTTTTCAAATAAATAGCACATCTGTACTAATTGCTTTTTCATTCATTTGCAGATGCAGAGCCACGGTATTTGGTTTCAGTAAGACCAGCACGTGTTTCAAATAACAAGAAATCTTGTTCAGGTATTTTAATCTTACTGCATCTCTTTCTTAAAATATTTGAAAGAAAACAGACCCTGGTGCTGGGTTTCTCTGAAAAGATGTTTCTACCTGTAGGCATCTCTCTGGGATGCACAAATTCCATACATGGAAAGGTAAAATGTAGGGCATCATTTCCCAGTCAGTAGCCACACACACAGTGCTCAAAACATGAAGATGTACCTAAAGATTTTTTTGCATAAAGTTCTTACAAATGAGAATTGAAATTTAAAATATTAATTTCTGATGTTTAAAGACATTAAAGTTATTCTCCCCAAACTATAAGTAAGGATTCCTTCATCCATAGACATGTTAATGCTCCTAGTTCCTTGTTGGAAAATGGTAGTGGGTGTCTCTATATCAATATATACTAAGTTTGCTAATGCAAGAAGTAACAGAAAGTGATATTTCCAGCTGAATCTATACACAACAGAGTAGAAATCTGAATTTTGTTCTCATCTGTTTCAAAGTATTTCTATCTAACCTTAATCACGTCATTAATATTGTTAGTTCTGAATTCCTTACTTTAATATAGTGACTTAATTCTGTACTTTAATGTGGAGACTTCTTTCAGGATGACCGGACTGTTACAAAAAATAGACTCATGACCTATCCCTGGAAGCACTCAAGGTCAGGTTGGACAGATCACGTCTGAGAAACCTGATCCAATTGAAGATGCCCCTGCTCATGGCAGGGGACTTGGACTAGAAGGTCCTTAAAGGTCCCTTCCAACCCAAATTATTCTATGATCTTTGGATGATTTTTTTTTTCCTAACTCCTAGTAATGTTTGGGATAAATCTTTTCTTGCTCTTTGCCAGATATAACACAATATGTCTGGAAAGATTTTGGAAAGTGATTTACCCTTCAGATGCAACATATATATGTTGGTTTTTAATGTAGGTTTTGTAGCAACATATTCATCATCAACATAAAGTTAAAACCAACATGATTAACATTTCTAAATGGACACACATATTGGTTGAAAATACAAAACAGGCTGTCACTGGGGCTGGTTAAGTGAAGAAATAATAGGATTGAAAAGGCTGAGTAGAAAGTTAGTCTGATCTGATTCACAACAGTGAGAAAAAAACCCTTTAGATCAGTGGCTTATAAGTTTTCAGGAAATGTTGGTCACCTGTATGTTTTGAGGAGGTACAGATCCTTTAGATTTTTGAACTATATAATGTGATGTAAAGAATATATTGATTTCCTATAGTCAATAGTCTTTCAAACACCAGAGATTCTCCTTGGGCCTATAGCTGTCCATAAACTACAGGTTTAAAATAGAGTCTCTACACAATTTTTTCATTTCCATCTATTAGCTTTTAAACTTTCTTTAAAATAAGTTCTTGCTCCCCACAAGAACTGTACTCCTTTATACAGAGCAAGGGTGAAGTTCAGTATCATGCAAAACCTGATTTCAGTATAGCTGGTAATCAAAAGAGAAAGTTCCTGCAGATACAGACACTGACTCAGATCTGCCTGCAGTTAAAACCTAAAGAACTTTTGTAAGTTTTATTTTGCTCTTAAGAATGCTCTAGAAAATATTTATTATGTGTAGATATATTTGCAGTGTAACTGAGAAACTTGCCAAGAAATTACTATTTTTATCACATTCATGGAGGCTTTCTAATGTCCTGAACTCTGTCATGTCTTCTCTGAAATAGTCCAAGATAGCAAGAGTTTTTAATTTAATCTACCTATAGCTTATTCTTATACTAAGTGTACTTAAACCACCAAATGACTGTTTTCAAAAACTAGTTTTAACTTGAATGTTAGGTTGAAAAAGTGACCATGGACACTGCCACATTTGTAAATCATATGTTACAAATAGTGACCATGAAAATTAGAGAACTGTTGTACCTTTCCCTTCAACCTCAGAAGAGATCTTAATTTACTTAATTATCCATCTGCAAAAACTTTCCTTTGCATAATGCAGGAGGGAGAAATTAACTTTATATGTTTCTTATGTAGGTCGGAACAAGACACAGAAGCCTCTGCAGCTGGTGGTTGGCACTCTCACCCCAACCTCTGTGTTTCTCTCTTGGGGCATCCTAGTCAACCCTCAACATGACTGGACAGCAACAAGTAACTGTGCTAGTGACAGGTAACAACAGACAAGGATGGGCTTTATTACCACCATGAGTTCACTCAGGGCAGCTCTCTGCTATGATTAATATAATTTTTACAGTAAAAATTAAAATGTTGTAAACAATAGTTCTGAATATGAAATCAGTTTTTTCATTTACTCACACTAGTGCTTTGCAGCTCTTTACTTGACAGCAACTTTAGTGAGATGTCTACACACTGAATTACAAATCTTGTTATTTCACACTGGATCCTTTGTTCTTAAACTAATGGCCTTGGCTCTACCTTCATTTGTATCTGAACCAATTGAAACTTTGTTAAATCACAGGAAATATTTTACTTTAGAGTTGACTGAAAAAGTGTAAAAGAAGTCTTTTGTTGTGCTGAGGTGGGGGAATGATGTCTTGTTTTAACACTGTTTGAATTTTGTTTCCTTTATCTTGTCTTATCATTAAAACTGATACAGTACAGCTTTCATTAAATTTCTGTCATAAGTAAAAAATGATTTCTTCTATGTCAATATTTTTGGCATTAACTGAGTGGCGCAGTAGGTGGGAAACTCAAAATGCTGGCCAAGTAGCAGGCTCAAGAGAACTCATAGTGCAGAAGAGCTTCTCAATTAAGTGCACTATTATGGTTTAGTCAACCCTCTGTAGATGAATAAAATTATTTAAATTGCTAACGCAGATGTTTTCTCTACTTGTGTTTCTCTTTATATTGTTCCTTGATGACAGAAGTCAACCCTCTGTAGATGAATAAAATTATTTAAATTGCTAACGCAGATGTTTTCTCAACTTGTGAGAATATTTTTACTTTCATTTACGCTGTGTGAAGCTCTATTCTACTCAACAGTGTTTTGTAAAACTAAAAAGAAACATTGTGAACGCATGGGATGCACCTACATCTGTTTTGCAACTGTTATCTTTTGGGTTTTAAATGTTCTTTTTATTTTATCATTCAGAACATTTCTTTTACCTGTCTAACATTTGTCGAATTTGTAGCTGTCTCATTTAGACTTGACTTTTCTTACTCTGGTGTTCATAAGAAAACTCTAGCTGACATGATTAAACTGGATGTCAAATATAGGCCATGTTTAAATACACATCCCATTTAGCCATTACTTTTTCCTACCTTTACAAAAGTTTCATATCTCACAAAAGGACTGATCCTTTTCAAGCACCAGAAATTTCTCATGAAAAAAAATTTGGATCTGCATCACCAACCAGAATTTCAAACACCATTGAAAAAAAATTATTGTTTGTTAGGCAACAGTTATGGAACGTTAGTAAATGTCCAAGGACGAAATTTGATCAGATTTTTCTTCAATAGAAATAAAAGTTTGTTAAGGCTTAGATTTTGCTCTTTCAATAATGGAAGAAGCAAATATTTTCCTACCGTGTGAAATTGAATAAATGAGCTGATCTTGGATGAACTTGTAGAGTGTTCTAGCATAGTGGTTTTAGCACAGTTTTTACCAATGAATTTTTCTTTATGTGATGTGTCAGCACCAATGTTGCAACAGCCATTGTGCAGTGGGAATGAAGAACACTTCAGGAGAAGCCTATATCCTGTATTAAGCCACCTGGAAATTCAAGGCAAATGGTATCCACCACCATGCTTTCATCAATTCCATGTTTTCTCCTCAGTAGCTGAATTTTCTTTTTGGGCATTCATTGACTCAAAGTTGGAACAAAGTTTTTAATATAGTTTTTCAGTTAGGGCAGTGTGCTACTAGTGTCTTGCTGTGTTTAGAATGTATTCTGAGATATTCCTCCTCTCAGGAATTAAAGTGCACATTTCAGTGAAATATTGACAGACAGGAGTAGCTAGTTTAAAAATATTTATATCACGTTACAAGTGATCTTATCAAAGTTAGGTACATAACTATAACCAGATTTCTGGTTTGCAATCAAGTATAACAAGGAAGTTAATGAACAAAAAAAGTCACTTAAGTGGTGCTCTTATTAATTTTACCTTTACTGGACCAAAGTGCTTGTGATTTGTATAAATTATAAGAACAGTTGTCTATGTGACCATGGTGTGTATATCTAGAATTCTAAGAGAGATTAGATCCACATATATTTCTAGTCAGTGTGTAGAAGAAAAACTATTAATTTATTATAATAATTTGAATGACTGTTGATAATATACAATAGGGAAAAAAAAGGAAGCAGCCCATTCTTAGCAAGTTAGTGTTGTGATAAAAGTACAAGACTTAAAAAACCAGTAACAGATTCACCAAAATTTCAGTCTATTTCAGGGGCAGTGTACCTGGCTTGATGCTTTTTCATCTGGCATATTCTCCTTACTGTGACTGTTAATCATCCTCAAGATTGCTGTTAGTGTCTAACCTCTAACCTTTGGATTGGCAGAACATAGCAGTCAGGACCTCTTAACTCAGTTCTGTCAGCCAATGTCCCACCAAGGTTTAAATTTGTAACTCTCGATGACCTGAAATGGAGTCACTGTCTTCAGCCTCAGATTTTACCATCTCCATGTGTATGTTAGGCTTTGGTACAAGAGTTGCATAATAAAGTGTTGCATTATTTCAATGTGTTACTGAGTCAGAAGATAGAAACCACATGGAATAGCACAGTTCTGCTGGCCAAGATTTTCTCTAGTGTAAGTTTGACCTCAGTGGGATATTCCTTGGAAGATCTGGTTTTGTAAGCAAATGAGTTTGGAATAAGAGGTGCCATATTCTCAAAGAGAATCTCAAAGAAATCTCAAGGAGAATATCTTTTAGTGCTTCAGTGAAATTGCTGCTTGCTTCTTCAGGGAACATAGTGGTCTTCTGTATCTATGAGATTTTTAAGAAACTCCGATGAAAAAAATTTACTGTGACATTTTTCAACAAATCTTTATTTTGGCTTAACTCCCTAGAGATTAAGAGCATAAGCCAATGGAGTGCTACATATTTCCCTCAAGATAACCCCAAATGCTAATCCCTTATTGAAACAAAAGCATTCATTGCCATTTTTGTGGACCAAAACTGGAAGATGAAATTTTGAAGCATTCTTGAAGTGACTATTATCTCTCATCAGACCCTTAGCACTAGAATCTAAAATAAACAAAAAATATCTAAATCAAAAAACTCAAGTAATTAGTTTTATGTAATTGATGAAAACTACATAACACCAGGAAGCACAGTTGGTGGAACCTTTCTCAGCATCCTCTGCTTTCTGACATGAGTGGAAGACAGTTGATGAGGGAAGATGGCAAAATCACGATATCCTGCTGCAGAGCCATGTTCAGTTCCTCTTTTTATTATTTCCAAGAGAGTAAGAGGTTTGTTTCCTCTCTGCCTAGCTGTGTTCAGACAAATATTAGTGGACAGATCTGTCAAAATAAAAGTGAAAGTCAAAATAAAAGTACTGGGGCTGCATTTACTCTCCATTCAGGTCTGAAAAAGAGAGAATACTCTGTAGATTTTTCTTTCTTTGCTTTGATTAGAACACCTCTGTAGCTGGGGGTCAAAAAAGGTGGACTTCAACTTTCAATTCTTTAGGAATGGATGGAACAAAACCTATTTTTCCCCATGTTAGATTAAATCAGAATTTACAGTTGCAGTAAAATATAATAGTCTATTGAGTGGATTGTGTAGAAAAACACACTTTCAGATACATGCAAAAATAAGAATTTAAAACCTGAAGGTATGTCTTTTTTAAGTTAAATGCTGTGACAATTTCACACTGGCTTTGTTTTAATTGATTTACCTGTGATTTAAATGTCCTAATGTCGTTCTTGCAAGTAGCAGAGATCTTGTGTTTTATTTTGTTTTTATCTGATGCTTTAAAAAAAATGCAAGGAAAACAGTAAGGGAAAATCAGGGAAGAGTCCATACTTAGTTATTTTGTTGAATAGTATGTAGAAGTAGGGTTTTAAAAATCTGAAATTCAGAAAGAAATGTGCCTACTCCTCCTGTGCCTATTTACAAACTTCTGTCATTATGCAGCTGCCAACTAAGTCATACTTTGTGTTGCAAGTGTCATACAAAATGTATTTTAAACATAGCAGAATTTCTTAAAGGAAAACATACAGCAGCAAATACACTCCTTGAGTTTCAGATGCTTTTGAGTTGCTGCTGTAGGAATACATGCTAAAAGTTTGTTTAAACTGGAATTATTTGTTGCTGTTCAGTCTCTCCTTTTTCAGAGCCTCTCACTCTTTATTTCAGTCATTCTACTAAAAGTTTTTAGCAGAAGAAGTGAATTTTAGTGATCATGTAAGAGTCAAAACTAAATTAGAAAATGCTTTGCAAACCTAGCTGGTAACTGACACTGGTGTTGTTCTTTCCATTTTTTATACATGCCAGTGTCTGTTACTTTAAAGTAAACTTAGCAGTAAAAAAGGAAACAATACAATCAACTTCATGGGTCAATTTGTGCAGCACTCAGTGTATGAGAAATCATTGTTCAAACGATTTCTCTTATTGCTTTCTAGTATTAAATGGATGCTGCACTTCTAATAAAGTCTAACTACAAATCAATAATACCTGGTATGCTGATAGTCTCTTTTAAAAAACTTTGATTACATTTCTATGAGGAAAAAAAAAGAGCTTTATAATCTATTGTCTCTGGCAACACAAAATCACAGAGTTGGAATGTTCTTATATCTCCAAGGCTTAATTGTTTGTTTAGTGTTACGTGTGACTAAAATAGTAATGATTAAATTGTTTGGAGTTTTGGTTGGGACCCGCTTCCAAATAAATCCATGATATTTATACAAACTGACCTAGTCTTGAAATCTCACAAAACCATCTGCCTTACAAGATTTCCAGTATCTAATTGTTTGTGTCTGAATATTTGATCGTGCAAGCATGTTCTGGGAATCTGGCTGAAATGAGATTTGGTTAAAAAGTCGAAAAATGACACTGGAATTCTTGGCAAAACAGTATCATTCACACTGATAGATGAAAACTCAATCTCTTGCCTATCCATCCTAGAATTCTACTTCTTTTAACAGTGAATAAGATTTTCTTCATCTCAAAAGCAAAAACCCTCTGTGCTCTTTCTTTAAAATGGTCATTTTTTAAAATTGTGATTTCTAGTACAACAAAAAGGCTGTCCCTAAACTGAGCACTGCCTTGTTATGAAAACAAACTTTGTAAGCTGAACACAGAGGAGGAGAAACAACCTTCTGTGTCAGGCTGAGTCTTTTACATTGACTCTGCAGCTATAGTAATCACTACAGTGGTTAGCCTATGAGTAATCTTGTGCTCTTGTGGCTTCCTTTAAATTATGAACTTTATTATTTATTTTATTTCTGCCATCACATTTTGTGTACGTCTTATGTGGAGGCAAGCAAAGTAAAAATATCATCAAAGACACAGAGTTTCAAGAATGTAGACACTAAACATTCCATAATTTTGCACAAATGTGTATGGAGAGAGGTTCTTGGTGAATGTAGGCTCTTTATTCCTCTGCTGTGGCTGGTTTTGGTTGTTTGGGTTTTTTTGCCTCATTATTACAGAGATTATTTCTGAGTGCAACAAAGCCTCTCACCTGCTCATAACACCTTTTGTTTTAAATTGTTGGAGTTTTAGCTGTCTAGTAAAAAGGGAGGAGGTAACATTTTTCTACAGTTCCTAGGGTGGCCTGATTGGTGGTTATCTTCAAATGAGTGAAGCATTGCTTAGAGGGAGGTACTAACTTTTATGGAGTTTGACAAAAGAGCTCTAATGTTTTATAGAGTGCTAGCTGGCAAAGAAACAGAGTAACCCTGCAATCATTTGATTAATATTTGTTGTAAATATAAATACAAGAGTATTCAATAAACATTTTTCTGATAAAATATCCCCCACCAAAATACATAACAAATCAATCAATCAAAATGAAATGTTAAATTAAGTTAAACATTGTTAGGTCTTTATACCTGCTGAGAATCTAGATTGAAATAATTTCTCACCAAGTGTACCTGGGTGTGCCATCTCCTTGCTGAAACATCAAACCAGTATTCACAGGTGGGAATAGCATTCCCAGGAGCATTCCACAGTGTATTAGCTGCTAGGACTCTGTGGTGAGCAATCAATTTTTCCTTTTCTTACCTCACAGAGATAATGGAAAGTGTTTTATTCGAGAAACATGTAGCGTAGCTTTCCCTTTAAGCCCTCTATTTCAGTGCTTTCAACTGTCTTATGTTGTTCTAGAGGGGATCTATGAAGATGTTTTGCTGAATGTTTCCAGTTCAGCCAGCTGCACTCATTTTGTGCATGTATGTCACTGCCACAAGGGGATTGATAGACGTGAGTGGTGACTGGATCTTACTGCTTACTCATGTCTTCAATTATATGTGTTGACTGTTTGATATTGTATTTTTGATGAAAGAAAGATTTGAAAAAGGGAGAAATTGAAATTACAGCAATATTCAATCAGTACAGTGTTCTCAGGCAGACACTGAAATTGCTTTTTATTTGGCAGTTTTTTGGTCTGGTTTAACAATGAGTTGTTGTTCTTTGATGACAAAACTTGGCATTTCTGAATTTTTACTCTATAAACAAATGATTGCATTACCCCAAAAGCACATGTGGATATTTAGATATTTTTAATAGTCAAATGATTGTGACCTGCAAATTCTTAAATGGAACTTCATTTTTATTGCTTTTTATTTAAATGGTTGAGGAAATTCTGTCATCACGGTCAGTGTTTTTAGTACTCACTATGGCAAGTTTCCACTGAAATAATTATACCCTTAGTGAAGTTTTTATAGGCTTGGAAATCTTGGAGTTGAGAGCACATTTCTTATGTGCTGTATGTTTCTCTTTCCTTCTAATGGCATAGTTCAGCACAATTATGAAAATCTTCTTTTCAGATTTTATAACAGTCTTGAATTTAAGTGAAAGATGGGGCCTTTTTTTGTTGTGCATGTGTTCTTAGTATTTTAATTTTTATTGGAGTGAAGAAAATTCCAGGTGTGGAGACAGCATTAAAAAGTAGAACATTTTGTCCACTAGAAGCAACTGGGGACGGCCACTTAAAAGCCCATTCGTTATCAACAAGTTTTTAGTGGTTTGTTTTCTCCCCATTTCTGAATCTAAAAGCTGTTCTTTTAGATTGTTCAATAACTGAACTGAAACAGTATACCCTCTTTTTTCCATCACATGCAAACACTTTATTTCTATCCCATTGGATTAAAATAGGTAGGACAAGGTGAGGATAAAGATGAAAACCAATGAAAATTTCTCTTTCAGGCAAGGGGAAAAGGTGACTATTTCCACTTGAATTCACACCTGATATCTGTCCATATTTATTCCAAATCCTCCACCAAAAGACTGTATGTGGTCCAGTAAGAGTCATTTGTGTTGAAGACTGAATTTGTTTATTAAAGTTACATCCTTTGCAAGACAGTGACAGGGAGTTCAAATAAGCTGTTCCTGTTGGTTAATGTCTCTGTGACCACATACAAATAGATTAAGAGGATAAAGGAGAAGAATTTTTCCTTCTCTTAATGTTGCCAATAATTGATTGTTTAAAATGTTCTTTGTCAGTTTAACTGACAATTAGGTCGATTTGACATTTGATTAGATCACAGTCCACAGAAGTAAGGAGGCAGATTATTACTTGGTAGTCCTGGAACTGAGAAAGACTATTTACTACTTGTTGGTCTTTTTTTTCCCTTATTGTTTTGGGTTCTTTTTCTTTTTCAAGTTTTAAGTTAGACTATATCTTGTTTTGAACACAAAGTAGTACAGTTAATGAAGTTATGTGAGCCAACATAAACATTGATCTTGGAACCTGGTGAAGTACCTGAATAAGCTGAATTGTAGCTCCTGGTTTACCAGGAGAATCTATATTTTTGGTGCCAAGAAAACAAATTTAACAGTTATAAGATAAAATATGTAAACAAAGTGAACCATTATGTGTGGAAATATCTTCCATGAGTGACACTTGCCTTGTCTTAGGTCGTGTTTTAATAGTGAAGTAGGAATTTCTGTCTACTCAACAGTCACATTTCATGTAAACTGTACTCTGAAAGGACTCTTGTAACTTCAGCAGAAGCAGCTTTATTAATTGACTGTATTAGGTTTGATCCACTAAGTAATTTTAGTCTGGACTTTTGAAACTTTTTCAGTTTCAGTTTAGGAACGTTTTTTTGGTTGGTTTGTTTTTTTTTAAGGAAGAGATTCCTTTGTCTCTATGTAATTGTCTGTATAATGCCTGTAATAAATCTCACAACCTTGATTTGCAAGCATTAAGTTGTTCTATTTAAGTGTGACAAAATACAATTGGACTGAATTCATCCCTTTTCAGATGATGTGAATGTGAGATAGATATGGATGATGGATATGAGTTATTTATGTTATGTGTAACAATTTTCAGTAATACTTGGATTAAAAAGTGGCCAAATTGCTCTGAGATTTGCTTTTCCAAGAAAAGAAACATCCACTCCATTTTGGTGGTGATTCAGCACGTATATTGAGAATGAGACTATTTCAGCAGGGGAGTTCTTGCGCTGAAGCTCTCACCATTTCCACTACCTTTTTTTGATTGGTTAACATTGCAGTCATGCTTTTTCAGGGTGGTGCTCCTTGACAGAATTGGGCAATTTCTGTAGAAATGTTTCCTAGTTTCACAATCTGTTAGCATTCAACGTGTTTTATACTGCCGGAAGTAATGTCTTGGTTTATTTTTTGTTTGAAGTGGGGGCAATACATAATGGGATCTCTGAATGAGGAATGTATTATACAAACAATAGATATTACTGGTCTTTCCTGGAGAATGTTTTTGGACTCATTTTGAAGGGAACACCTTTCACTGGATGGATATAGATGATTTTGAGAAATCAGTACAGGCTTCTTGACTAGCAGACTCACAATTCAATTGACTGGTTCTGGCATATGTCAGAATTACAGGAACTGCTTGGACAATGAGCTTACACTTTGTGGTTAAAACTTCACATACAATGGGTGTTTGTGAATAAGGAGACTGTCCTTTTGCTCTTTGTACAATATTCCTAATGTCATGGTCTATATGTGGAATAAATCTGGCTTTTCTGATATTTGGTGACCATAAAGAGCCAGAAAGAATAAGAACAATAGAACAACATTTATTATTACTATTAATTTTCTCACAAAAAATGTTGTCATGAATTCCTTTGCATAGACTTTTATTTTCCCCCTGAGCAGGTTCTATACAGTTCGCTACAGAGAAAAAGGTAAAGACAAGAAATGGGTTTTCCAGCTATGCCCAGCTACAGAGACAGTGATTGACAATCTGAAGCCAAACACACCCTATGAATTTGGAGTTAAAGACAATGCAGAGGATAGTATTTGGAGCAAGACTTTGAATCATAAGACAATTCTCTCTAGTAAGTATTTTACAATAGTTAATCAAATAGCTGCTGATTTTCACAGTATTTTTTCCTCTATTATGGTATTAATTAGAGTAAGCTGCTGATCAAGTTTTTATTGTTTAAATGTCATCCATTATACCCCTAAAAATTCTCCTAAGAATTGCTGAAAATAGAAATATTTTGGTTTTGAAAACCTGCCACCTAGTCTTCTGAAAGGTGTTGACATTGCAAACAGAACATCTGCTGCAGGTTGATAGAATTCTAAAGGTGTTTAGTACAGATACACATTCAAGTGTTGAGTATGAATATTTACACTTCTGACTGGATTCTAAGCTTTTTCCTTAGGTCATGAATAATAAGATGATCAAGTAATGAACTAATCCATCAACCATCATCCAACTAATCCATTGAATTTCTTTTCCATCATGAGTGATAGAAATTATTAGCATTAATCTTCTTTTACACCTGCATTTACATTGAAGCTGAAGGTCTTCAAGCCAGACAGGGCCTGTCCTGCCTCAATGGGCCCTTTATGACTCCACTCAAAAGATGAATTTGAGGATAATTTACAGTTAAAGTATTATATGGATCATGTCTGAAGCATGCAGTGTCATGTATGCATTTGTTTTTGTTTTCATGGAGCAGTGTATAACACCTCTGGCTGGCTGCCTTTCATATTTTAAGGTTCTCCTCTGAAATACCAAGACAATGCAGGAAAAGTGATGTCATATTAACCCTTGTGAAAACATGTAATGCTGAAAGAATCACTCATACCAGTAAAGGAAATAAGCATCAGTAGAGTTTTCCTCCTTGTAATGAGAAGAAGACAGGACTTAACAGAGTATCCAATTTGATTTATTTTCCTCAAGTATTTGCATAAAAGTATTTTGAAACATGATGTTGCTCAGAAGATGCTGGAAACTCCTACGCTTAGTATTTTCAGCTTGACTCAAAATATGAAGAATGGGAATTCTCATTAGAGAGCCTTATTCATATGAGATTTCCAGCTGAAATTTAATTTGTACTACAGTTTTGACTTGTAGGTGAGTTACAGAGCTCAATACACTTGATGATAAAGGATGGGAGCAGTATGGTGGCTTTTAACACTGGGAAAACCTTTATATTGCCTAATAAAGAGATTTGTTGGCCTTAATTATAAAGTACAAAGCTGTAACTTTGAAGTACCTGCCCAGTGTCCATTGAGTTGTTTGAGCTGTGCAGAATAATGCCATTGCTAAGCCATAGCTTAAAGAGGATAATGGTCGTAGCCTTTTCCTATACCTGATTCACAAAAAGCTCTGCTTTGCAGCCTTACAGATATCTTACCAAGTGGTTTTTTTCTGGGTTTTTTCTATATTTCAAACATCTTAAAGTCATCTGTAGAACAAGTGATGATATTTCAGCGCTTAGAATAAGAGGGAGGGATGAGTGCAAAATGTTCATAGTTTATTACTTGTTCAAGACTGATGAAAACATCACCAAATTTTATCTTTCTATAGAATGTACTTCCAACTGCTGTTTCTTACAGACATTTTAAATTTTTAATATGTCAGGAAAATTGTTCTTGTATGTTTATGGAGACCCATTGAGCTTGGTTGAAAGATTATTTCTTCTAAGAGTTCGTATTCTATTTACATAAGATTTCTTTTGTCTGCAGTGTAGATTTGTGTATTCAGTGCATGCTTCTGCAGCAGCGAAATCCCAGGAGTTTGTAGTTACCCTGCATGTCTACATTCTGGTCTACTGATAAAGAATCTTGTAATGGGAAAATTGTCAGCACTTTCAAATTCAAGCCTTTCATATTTTTAGTGTATACTGTGTAAATACAGAAAATGGCAACAAACAGAGGGTGTATATTTATAATAAATGTACAGCCAGATGCCTGTAAAGATTATCAATCAACACAAACAGGCACTTCTTTTCTGTGGTAATTTCTTTATTTGTATCAAGTTCTCCTCATATAGGAGAAGCATCTCAACCTAAACCAAACATCCTTCACTGTGAATGTTCTTTTTCCCACTGAAGTATATATCAGTTACTAGAAACTGGAAGTTCTTTTACATGTTCCTGGATTTGTTGAACCCACAGGCCAATTTTTTTTTTTTATACTAAACACATTGGGAGGGGTTGGGAGGAGAATCTGCTTTTAATTCATTATTTGAAGAAACATGAAAGGCATGGCAAAAGTTCAACATTTATTTAGCTGATTTCTTTCAGAAGAGATTAAAGTAGCTTATTTCAGACCATCTTGCCATGATTTTCTCATGAAGTCATTGAGAAACTTCTGTCACTTTTCCCTTGAATTTAGGCCAGTAGTAAGTCCTGTTATTTAGAAGTATCAAGTACTTTGAAAGACTTGTTTCCAACTTAAATGTATCTCAATTGATATTTCTTTAGAGTTGAATTTTTTTTTTTCTACTTCTCATCTGTTTTGGATGGAATTTGAAAAAAAATGATAACATGTAGCTTGACTCGTTTGCACATCCATTGTTGGAAGGGCAGCAGAAAAGTGTAAAAGTGGAAGATACAGAGAAAGTTTGAAGCAGCATGCTAGAATAGAGTAGGTGCTGAACAGGACTGTTTCTTGATTTACTCAACAGCTGCATCACAAGAAACTTCTAATACTTAGAAACTAAGAGGAAAACTTAAAGGAAAAAAAAAATCAGAGTTTAAATCTGGGGGTTTGTTGATACACTGAGATAAACAAAACCATAAACAAAACAAGAAGAATACATTTAATTTCCTTGCTGTCAAAATGTGAAGAGAAGGCCTTGAAGATGGATTAATGGCTCTGGAGACACAGGACAATAAAAATTTTCCATTATTTTTTTTTATACAGGCTTTTAATTAAGCCTTCTAACTTTCTGAGCTGACAAATAAAAGGTGAATAAACTTGGTTTGCTTTGCTTTGGACAAAACAAAAAATTAATTATGTGAATTTATTTTTCTTTCTGTCAAAACAGGTAAAAAAGTAAATGGACAACTCCAGAATATGTATAAGTTGGTACCCAATTCCCAAACACAGGTATGCAAAACAGTCTCTTTTTTTACCTGATTCATGTTTCATATGATCAAATTTTTTATTCTCTGTTAATGTTCAGTGAGAAAGAAATTATCAAGGCCACTAACTGCCAATATAGAAAACAATCTGTTAAATGCACTGTATGGAAAATATTTAAATGTGTTGATGGACAAAATAATTGAGAACTGTAACTGAGATGATTACATACACTTATTCCAACCTACCCAAGAAAAATCTGGTGGTTTCCACTTGTAGCTTCAAAACCTAGAAGTCGATTATTCCTTTGTAGTAGTCAGGTTTGTTAAACTGTGATATTTGTTGTGGTCAGTTAACTTTGGGGTGACTTGGTAATGTGATTTTATAGAGTAATTTTGTATATACTCAGGTCTTCTAAATTAGTCATCCCACTGAATTCACTGATAGTTCCCATATGTGAGGCAAGTGTTTGCAGAACCGGAGGAAGCTGAAAGGGCAATTTAATTAGGTTTGCTAGGCTGTCCATTAAATCCTTTTATGTGGCATGGTAGAATTTTTACCATTTCATTTAAAAAAATTGATTTTTATAAATAAAGATTTTTTCCCCCTCACTTGACATTTTCCATAAACATTCTCAAACAAGCATGGATGGATGGATTTAATTTGTTTATGGATTCATGTACCCAGATTTTTTTTTCTTCCAAGACCTGAAGCATAAATGAAGGCTATCTAAATCAAACCAGCTAGTGAAAAATAGGCATTTAAATTATAGATTCTGAGCATTACCAGTTCTACTATGAGATTAAATTGGTTCATTTATATTTCCTTTTCCTTGTTTTTTCATCTAAGTGCAATTTTCAGCATCTAATCCTCTGGAGGATTTTTTTTTGTTCTGCTTCTTTTTAGGTTACTATCCCTGAGGCAGACTATGGGATAACTTCCCAAGAAAAGTTATAGAAATCCCTCTTACTTTAGAGATTTTAGAGGGTTAACTCATGAGTGTTAATTATTACAGAAGAATAGGCCATTCTTCACAATTCTCTACTGTCTGAGATTTTCCAAATGTTTACATGGTAGGAAATGGTAATGCATGTTTTCTCATTGTTTGTTTTTCATATTTCAGAATATTATAAATGGTCTGTAATTATCAGACCTGGAATTCCTTCAGGAATCAAGTAAAAATTCATTAAATAAATTTTATTCTAGAAATAATTAGGTATGCACAGAATCATAGTACCAATGAGGTTAGAAAAGATCTTCAAGTTTCTCAAGTCCAACTGCTAACCCAGCACCACCACCACGTTTATCATTAAATCATGTCCTCAAGTGCTGTATCCATGTATTTTTTAACTCTTCCAGGCATGATGATTCCTGGGCAGTCGTTTCCAATGCCTGACACCCCTTTCTGTGAAAATGAATTTTCCTAATATCTGCTCTAAACCTCCCCAGTGCAACTTGAGGTCGTGTCCATTCATTTAGGGCAGTAATACTTCAATAATTGCATTACATACAGAGTTAGATCCGTGGAATGCTTACATTATTGGAAATATGTCTTGAGTTCACGAGAAAAGGTTTTATTTGTGACCAGTATAAATCCAGTTGGTTAGAGATTCAGGAGGGTGCTCATTTCATTATGTTGATGAAGTCAGCTTTACTGTTCTTCCCCTTGGTCCCACGAGTGTCTTTAAAGTTGCACAGCCCAAGATCAGGGAATTCGTTCTGGACTATGGAGTGCAAGCTGAGTTCCTTTGCTCCTCTTAGCAAACCCTGTGTGCCAGAACTCTGACTGTTGTGCTGCTTCTGTGCAAGTAGGGATTCTATTTACGCAGGAGAAGTCCTGAGAAAATGAGCTAAAACAGTTCTCCAAATATTTGCACGGCTCAAGTATGAAAGAAGGACTAAAGCCAACCTCTAGTCTCTTTTGTGATCTTCACAGGGCTCAGCTCCAGAACAGGACTGCTTTATCACCCTCCACAGAAATATCATGAAAACATACCATAGACTATTCTAAAAGTTCTCTTATTATTCTTGGTTTATTAGTGCAAAAAGCCAAAAAGCAAATAGTTTACATTGTTCCTTCAGTTTCCACAGCACTAGGTGGGGTATGTGTCATTGGTGCGATCAGATCATTGATGCAAAGCCAGAATGAGTGTTATTTAGGCCAAGTTTGTTTGTGCTTTATTTTGTTCCACAGACACAACTGAATCATATCAACATGGTCCTAACTCTTCTCTGTAAGGACATTTTTAGAGGCTGTTTATTAAAAACGTTACCAACCCATCTAGTCATTCTGCCCTTTCAACATCAGTCACATATCATCTTGTGTTTCTTTTGGTAGTTTCATCCTTTAAGTTTGTCTAAGTTCCCAGGGCTGAGCGAGCAGCAACTAAGGAGAGGTTGGAAGAAAAGGGGTGTTCTAGAAATGGTCATTCTTCTTCCTTTCATAAACAATGGGTAGTGGTAGGGCAGAAAAAAATGCAGTAGAAATTTATTTCCTCTTCTTTCTTGTTAAGTTTGTCTAGTTTCATAATGTCAGCCTGGAAGGTGGGGTCCTCCCCAATTTTACAGCCAAAAAGGACTCTTAGCTTCTACCATTTGTTAAACTCTAGAAGGAAACATTCCTGCTCTTCCAAACCTTATTCAGTCCAGACTGACCATGGCCCTTGCTTGAGGAGACTCTTATGTGCATGCCAGTTAGTTTTGGCTTTTTGCAGTATCAGAATACAGCACAGAAAGAAAGAACAAGTCCTTAAGGTAATGTTAGCATGTGCTCTTTCACAGAATGTTTGAGATTTGCAGATCTGTAAGAATATGCTGTATGTATATGGTAAGAAGTGAGATGCCTGACCGATGGTATAATTTAGATCTCTCATTTTCCTCTGAAAATAAGGAATATATTATTTGCTATCTTCTTTCATGATGGCAGCAGTTGTTTAAATAACTGGTGTTCCTAATACCGATATGCTTTATATTCCCTATCTGAAAAATATGGTTGATAGTGCCATTCCTACAGATGATGGGCTGACATTTCCAAAATAGTTTGTATAAGTAGTAAATATTACTAGGAATATCTAAATTAGCCACTTTGTGGAAACTGAGAAGAAAGCTTTGACAGCATGGGTAGATTTCAAGTGCAGCAGTTACAGATTTGTGCAGATGAGCAGTCTAATTATAGCAGCTGGAGAATGTGGATTTCATGTCAATTATTCATTCCTGAGATAAAAACTACATTTTTAATATACTTAAATGTATTTTGAGGTTTTATATTGCTATCATTATAGACATCCATTATTAGTCAACAAAGAAAGAATGCTCTTGTCAATATAAGAACTGTTTACTAGTAAAAAAGGCTGATAGTAATTATGATTAGAAGTTCTACAGTAGAGGTTACACAAGCACTCACTGCAACTTCAGAGCTGCTTATTTGATTGTAAGGCTGCTGAGGAGAAATATAATAAAAAGAACACCTTTTTCTAACATATGCATTCCATCCCATGTGTCAGTCACATGAATAGGAGGGCTACTTCAAAAGCAGATCATCTGTAACACAGTTTTTTCACTAGAAAACAAAATGGAAATGTAAAAAAGGAAAAATAAAGAAGGAAGATTATTTCTATCTTCATATAATGACAGTGATTGAGCCATGTTCACACCAATGCAAAACTGTTACTAGGTAGCAGACAGTAATCATAAAGTTGCCTTCATCCATTTCACCAAGGAAAGGTCCATCTCACTTGTGGAGACTGGCCTTCTTCCAGCTTCTTAAACTTTGGTATGTGTTTAATGTGTACCCAAACATTGTTTTTAAAACTTCTCAGATGTATTTAGAATAGAACAAAAATAGCTATCCTTAGGTAAATGATTAGCACTTTGTCATCAATGTGACTTCTCATGCAAGTAAGTGTTCTTTCACATGAACTAGGCCAGATGTCATAAAGTGCAAAATTAACATTATCTGATTATGATTTCAGCAGAATGTATTTAGCATGGAAGATGATTGTTGGAGTTATTTTCGTTCTTGTAACTCAAATATAACTAAAACAATCCCCTTTTAATGTATGTAGCATTTTTATGTCATTAACATTACAGTCTACCTTCTCTCATATCTTGAGTGTATTATTAAGCTTTCGGAATTTGTTCATAATTCTTATCTTTGCTATCAACTGTTTTTTTTTTTAATAACTGTGGGGTCCATTCATGTATTTATCCTTTTTTTATGGTATTAGTATAATTTGATATTCACATTTAGGCAAGATGTAATCTGGGTCAAAGAGATATGAACAGCATAAGAGTCCATGTATTTAGCATAAAAATGTAAGAATCACGTGGGTGGCTGGTTGCTTGTGCTTTGGAGGCAATTCCACTAAATACAATTTTTCTGAGCTAATCTACTTTAATCAGGCTATGCACCCAAGAGTGCTGATGGTTTACAAATGTACACCTGGTTCTGGAATAGTCTATGTTCTAAATATAACGTTCCTGAGAATACATTTGTGTCCTGTGACCAAATTGTAATCGCATATGTTTCACATGTTTTGCTGTAGTTAAATTTCAGCTTTTCTTCAGCATTCTGGACTACTCCCCAGTGAGTGCTCCAGAGATCCTTAAGAGAAAAAAGAATTGGGGTTTCCTAAGGTGTCAAATACTGTGGTTTTATTGAGCAAAACATCTCAAGCTGATAGAAGGAGATCAAAATGCAATATTACAACATTAGCCCGTGGGAAGTGAAGCAATAGCACAACCATCAGGGACCAGGGCCAGAGCCATATGCAGTGTTAACTTGGGACAGGCGTGGTATTGGATTAGAGCCCTCTATTTTTATTACTCAGTTCAATTACTATTATGGCAGTTCTCCCAAGGCACTACTTTTATCCATTTTTTCTCTTTTTTCAGATTATACTGAGTGATAATAAGAAATTGGTCCCTGTCACAATAATCAAACAAAGTAAGTTTGTGCATTTTTAAAAATGTATTCTTATACTCTGCAAGGATAACTTGAGACTAAAATGAGTGTCAGGGCAATGGGATGATGTCCTGCAGCTACTCGTATAATAACATAAACACAGGATATCAGTTTCACCACAATTAATATGCCAGGGGAAAGAGATGCACAATTAGGAGACGATGTAGAGGAAACAGAGTTTGCAGTCTTTTAAACTGAATGTAAATACAGAAAGGATTAAGGTGGCATCTTCATCTGCAAATATGGAGAAAAGGTTTTTAGAATGCTGACATTTGTTTCGGGTGTGGTTTTTTTCCTATTTCAGTTTTGTTGTTGTTGTTGGTTTTTTAATTAGCTTATAATATGCCTGTGTTGTCTCCACAGTTATTCAAAATCGGACACAGTCAAAAGCACCAGATAGTTCTTCTCTCCCAGGAGCAATATTAGGTGACTAGAAGATATTTTTATTATTTCTCTTAACTACTGGTTGAAACTTAGAATTGCGCAAATGCTTTTAATTTTCCTGATCTTAATTGTTTTTCCTTGCATATCAAAGGGTATTTTGCAGCTGGTGCAGACAATATTTGTTACATTTTATGGTGGTACAGATGGTTCAAGAATGCTGTTGCTTAAATGAAGTAGAATCATTTCATTGCCATTGTATTTAGAAGAAGACACTGTCACTGTTTAAGGAGTTCTTTGATACTTCAGTTGAAGTTCTGTGGCAAAGATCTTGTTGAGATGAGGGATTGTTCTTACTGGGCTTTTAAGGTAGCACAGTAACATCACATCTACAGACGCAAACCTGATACATTAAACTACAGAAATCTTGCAATTAGAATTTGATGTTAGATCTCGGGCATTACTGTTTCCCTCCAAGCCATTCAGTTTCATGCTTTATGTTCTTGTTTCACCTATAAGAATATGCAATATTGGCTTAGAACACTAAACCAGGGGAAAGTCTATCATACAGTGTGGTGAACTACTGGTCTGCCTGAAATTTCCATGAAAGGCTCACTGCACCATGTACCTTGTGACCAATTTATTCCTGGATTAATTATTTATTCCTTTATATATTTTCTGTGACTGTGTAACTTTGACTGAAGTTTTCTTTGTGTGAGTTTCAGAGTATTGATGTGAGTCAGACACACACATACTAACCCAGACTGGTTAGTCTTGGCTCACCAGGCAGAATCTGTCCCAGTATCTGTGATGGTGCAGTATTCCAGAGTTGTGTGCTCCAGTGTCAAATGGTTTCCAACTCTGATAAATCATGAGATGGTGGTGATAGAAGGAGTGGTATAAAAGGGAAATAGCACCAAATTGGAGAGATAATTGCAGGATAGAACAAATTAATTTTCCAGATATTCAGACTGAACTCCCAGTTGTTCAGTAGCAGTTACTGACGTATCTCAGAGAGCAGACTGTGTGCTTTCATGACTTCTGGAATTAATGGCATACATCTTTCTCTGTAGTGCACCTTATTGTTCCAGGCCTCAATGAAAGTCAGCAGAAACTTCCTCCTCTCCTGACAATAGATGACATTCCTCAAGCATCTAGGAAAAAAATTGGTAAGCAGAAATGCTAAACAAATGCGAAATGCTGAAAACTATTTTGCACTGTGAAAATAATGATTCATAAGTCATTAAATCCTTGCTGTACATTTTATTTTTAAAGTATCTTTTAATGAACAAAATAAAACCAAAAACACATGAGTTTAACATAGCTTGGAGTGATTGTGCAGTGGAAGTTTATTGGGTCCTAAAGGTACTCAGCTGTCCCCATTTATCCATGTTGGCTTACTTAGTCAAACTAAAGTGGGACAGAAATAAATCTGTGGTAAAAGAGAGCAGATATATCTTTGTAATTACTCTCTAATGTCTGTTCTTTTAGCTAAGAATGAAACTGGAGTATGGCCTGCTGAATCCAAAACACCAGAAGTTCAAGAAATCTCCCCACAGTCCCTTCCAGGTAATGAAAATTCTGTTTTTAGAAACTGTGGAATTTCTTTGCCAAATACATAAACTAAAATGAAACCCAACTTTGTGCTATACAGTTAAAATAGTAGTTGGAAAACAGGAGGATACGTGGCTGAGTTAGCAAGGAGTGGTAATGTGGATAGAAATCTGAATCTGATTTTGGACAAAAGTTTCAGGTGATATAATTATTAGGTTTATAAAACTACTTAGAATTAGAACCATACTTTGTGGCATGATAGATGCCTTGAAATTTGAAAACTGGCAAAGTGAGGTTTTTTGTGTAACACCAACTACTTTATGAATTTGTATGACGAATATAGTCATATATTTTAACATGTTCAGTCTGGGGGCGGGGGAGGAAAGGATCGGAAAGAGCTGAATTGTTCAGAGTCAAATGATGAAGATCACTTATCACCCACTTTATTGACCCACATTTCAGAATTGTTTAAGAAGGAATATGCCTATCTTCATTTTCTCTAGTCTGACTCTTATCCTATAACTGAGTCGAAGCCTTGGTTCTGCTGTCACAAGAGACAACAGCTGGCTTCTGCCACCTTCTTTGCTGAAAGGAAGAAGGAATGCCTGAACAGTGGCAAGAATTTAAAACTAAAAAGGAATTTGAGGAAACAATGACCAAAGGTTTACTTTGGTCTGGTTTAGACATATTATGTGATCTTGCTGGCATTACTGTCTTCTGTCTGTCAAGTCTTTCCTGGTTGGATGAAGTAGTGTAATGTGGTTTCTTTGACATCACATGACTCAGACAGATACTGCCCTCAAATATGATTGTGTTTATTTTATTCCTTAAGTATATTAAAAAATGCTATGCTTAACTTCATCATAGCACCTTAGTCTTAAAAAAACCCCAAAGCAGAATAAAAAACCCTTCAAAAATACATAGGGCATTAAAAAGGTGTAAAGAAATGCAGCAATATCATGTAATCATTGACAGCAGATCAATGCTGATCAAATTCAGACTAACTGATCCATATTTTTTTCTTTTGTTAAAATGTTAGAACTTTATTTTCTGCTCAATAGATATATTTTCCAAATTTTGCTTTAAACCATTCCTTCCTATCTGCAAAACCTTCATAGGGATGGCTCTTTTCTGTTCATCCTAAATATTAAGAGGGGAAAAAATGACGCCTCCTCACAAGAATTTATTATCAGAGGACACATTGAAAATATGTGGATCCTTTTCAGAGAGCTGTAAGGAGTCTTTTTAGGTTGTTTGATTGGTTTGTTTTCTCTTACAGTTCAAGGTCTCTTGTGGAATTAAATTTTTTTACTATGTTACTAGATTATTTACCTTGTTTAAGTAACTGCTGTTTAAGAACTGGCAATCTGGAAGTGTATTTTCTAGAACTTTGCCATTTTTTGTAAAAGTGAGAACTGAATACATTTGTATGGTTCGTTCTCTGTCAGAATCCATGTCCTCACATCTCAGCCCTCAAGCTTGCATTCGTCTAATCAAAATGTGTCATTCCTTGTTGATGGAATGTATTGGTTAGTCAGCTAAAGAGTGTGAAATGTGGCAGCTGGGGAGGAGAGCGTTGGTTCATTTCAATTTCCTTTCCTTTCCTTTCCTTTCCTTTCCTTTCCTTTCCTTTCCTTTCCTTTCCTGTTTATGTACCAACATGTACAATTTCTAACCATAAACAGTGCCATGTCTAGACACAGCACAGAATTGTGTGTTTATGAAGTTGGAGAAGTTTTCATTACTCTGGTAATAATTGGCAAATACTCTCTTTCCTTGTAACAATTTAGTAATAATTTTTTACAACTAAACACATTCTTATTGCTCTCACACCAATAGTTACTTACTGAAATATTTAGAATAATTTTCATCTTCAATTTCAAGCTTCCTTTGTGGTTTTGCTTCCATGCCTTTTTTTTTCCTGTGGTGACCATTCTTTTCAGATATTATTTGTTGATTCCTTTCAGATAGTATTTGATGATCTCAGCACCAGTGCCTCATGTTAAAGTAAGAGTATGTCACTCTCCATTGTGATTACAGTATTCAGTTAAAGAGAAAAAAAAAGAAAGTCAGGAAACAGGGAAGTGAAAATAAATCATTTAAAAGAAAAATGTTCAAGTGTAATTCTGTCTTGCCATGGAATATGGAAAAATAACTTGTCTGGCTAAAATGCTGAAGTATACTTTTATGAGTAACTTAGGTGAGAGATCTGAGCACCAACCCTTTGCAAGGGTTGCATTTAAACAGTTTAGTCTATAGACATAATTAATTGAGTTTAGCAATAGGATCTACTTCAATATATTTAATTCAGACATTGCTGTTTGAAAAATCATACTGGATTCTTTGAGTAAGGCATAATAATTATTTGCTGTGGAAGGTTTAAGGACTGGTGCCAGACTGGCAAGAGCACAGTGATTTAGCAGGAGCTCTGTGCTGTAGCAGCTGTTGTATCATCAGCCACGCTAGAAGAGAAGGGAGCTCCAAGTATTTTGGCAAGCAGTCTATCTGAAAGGCTCTGTGGGCTGGGCTGCTCTTGTATACCACTGGCTCTTCATCAAAGGGTGTGTTCTGTGATGTGACACAGTTTAGTAACTTTTTTCATGTATTTGTCTACCAGGCATTCCATCATTTTCTTTATTTCAATCGTCCCCTCCCTTGGCATGCATTTCCATGGAAAGACTTGTTAGTAAGCTCTTTCATTCTTTGTTTTTGCCAGGCTTGTTACAATATCTTCCACTCAGGACTAATTTATTCTTAACACAACAGCTCAAATCTCTGGTGTTTTCCTCAATCTTTGAATTGTTGTCTAATATACCTCAAACTACTGCTGAAACTTTTTTTCTCTGCTAAATGTGTCTTTCTATTAACTTCACAGGGAAGTTGGAGCTCACCAACCCTTAGAAATACACATTAGAGCCCATTAGACCAACCCTCAGAAATACACATTAGAGCACATTAGTCTTAGTTTCTCTTAAAAAAAAAAAAAAAAAGAAAAGAAAAGCAAAAAAAAAGAAAGCTAGTTATTTATGTGAGGGGTTATACTACAAATTTAGTGAATTAGATTTGTGAAATACGGAATAGGCTTGAAATGAAAAGTGCCACCTGTGACTCCATTAACCAGGGTTAATGTTAAGTTGAAATAACTCCTTTGCTGCCACATCTCCCAAGTCCTGCTCCTCCTGTCCTCCTTCTGCCCTCTGAAGAGTTCCCCTTGTGCTCACAGGTATATCAGGAGTGAGATTAATGTTTTCATCATAATGTCTTTCACCATTATGAAGATGAAAAGAGAGTCAAGAGAAATCAGAGGAAACAGTTTAAGAAGCATTGCTTGGCTGCATTCTTGCTGTATTCCATGCTGTGATGATAAAATAACTTGGCTGTGTTGATGCTTTACTTTGCAGACAGCCTTGAACCACTACAACAGGCTTAGCTTACCTGCTGCCCTGGAATAGTCAGAGACATTTCTCTTTTCTCTAGTTTAGCTTTCAGAGCCTAAACTTTCTTCTTCCTGTATCTTCTTTTTAACAAAAATATCTGTCTTATTTTCATGTCATTCCTACAATGTTTTGTGCAAAACTGAGGGCTTGGTTTCTTTTGTTCTAACTCTAGGCATGTTTTGTCTTGCTCAGCTTGCTCAGCAAAGAAACATTTCATCTGTGTGTAAACCCTCTGACCTCTAAAAAAGAAAAAATTCAAAATATCATGAGTTCTGTATTTGCTTGTGTTAGGGTTTTTTTTCATTATTGCACCTCACCAACAAGAAATGTTAGATTTTGAACTGCTCCTGAGGTACAGGTAGTTAGTTGTTGCTTCAGTATTTCTTATGAGTGAATTCTCTCCCACAAGTTTCATAGAGAGAAATGCTCTGCCTTCTCCGGACAATGAACTCCTCCTTGCACTGATGGCAGTGACAGCACTGTGACTGGCTTAGAAGATAAACTGAGCCATAACAAATGGCATCTGTAAGGGCTTCAGACTGTGTGACACATACTCCAATCTAGAAAATAGTGTAATTGTCATAACCGTAATATCGTCCAAATCCTACTATTTAGAATTGGGAAACAGTACATTTTATTTTCACTAAATGAAATAAGAAGCTTATAAACCTCTATGATCAGCTCTTGCTTGAAGTGTGTTAAGTAGATTGTGGAAAAAGCTTGGAGAGCATGCAGGAAAAACCAAAATGTCTTCTAATGTGTCTCAAAAAGAAAGTGATCTTTTATTAAATTAATACTAAAACTTAGTGCTATATTAATGCCTACCGTCAATAATAAAGATCTCTTCCAAGTACTAAATACTGTGCAATTTGCTCTGTGGAGTGCATTAATGTTCTTGTGGCATTCAAGGCTGAGACCTTACCATTCTGTGTTCCATACCCATAGGCCTTGGCATTTTACAGTCTTAGATGACCAATTCTGAGTACTGCATGACTGATTAAACACCTCTGGGATCTCCAGCAACATGCAGATGAAAGAAGTGACCTTGACTTACTATTGGCATTAATCGTGATATGAAACAGCTTGCAGAGTATATTAAAATATGGCCAGCAATTCAGTTTAGGTGCATTTAATTGCTGTTTAATAAACTGCCTGTGTATTACTCTAAAAATGTACAATTAGAAGAATGAATGGAAATCAAAACCTATTCTATAACCTAACAAGTTTTATAATTACTAGAAAATTGAAAGATCTGGGATATTGCAGGTGAGTATTTATTATGTTCCTGAAAATCTTTATATTAGAAGGATTAAAAACCATTCAGAATATTAGGGAAAATATTTGTAAATATTTTGTGTAAATTACTTTGTGATGTAATGGATCTTGTTTATAATCTATATTAATGAATTTAAGAGGCTGTAACAGAAGTACAGTGTGAGTTTCTGACCTTAACTTTGCTGTTCATTACTTTTATTTTCTTTTGTTAATATAAAACTGCAGCAAAATAAATCTAAAATATCATATAGATTTCACATCTGAAAACAAAAATAAATATTAATCATGACGGAGTTGAACTGCTGTAGAAATCATTCTAATCATGTGGTATGAAATGGTGACAAGAAAAACATCAGTCTTTGAGTAGTAAATCAAGAGAAGTTCAGGGGGATTTTAAATTACATTAAGCTTCTTTCTTCTAGCTCAGGTTGAGAAAACACATGGACCTGAAGATTTTAGATCAACACCTAAACCCAAATTGGTTCCAACTCAAAACATACCGGGTAACTAATTTTTCTGCTTTTTACATTCTTTCTGCATTAAACACTTGTTTACCTTCAGCAGAATTTTTCTACTACTCGCTGCATCCTCTTTGTGTTGGCTCCAAAGGAAGTCCTGATTAAATATTCTGGTTTCTTTTGTGGTTTCAGTGACTAATACTGGAATGAATTGTAAAGCAGGGTGCACCTAGCTCTGGCTGAACTGTGGCCTTCACAGATTTCACTGTGTGATTCTATTTGATTTTTGAAGTTAATGCTTTCTGTCTATGTGATCTGCATGTTTGACATAACATAAAATTTCCATCTGTAAATTGACCTCAGTGATAGAATTTAAATAATTAACACTTTGATTTTCTTCTGATTACAGATTCATTTAGGTAACACCTACAGCAATGAGTAAGAACAATTTTATATAGTATGTGATGGGATATAACTGCATTTGCCTTGAAGGAAAGAGAAGCTCTACTGATTTTTTAAATTTTTTTATCTCAATGTTGTATGGTTAGTTTTGTGATTTCGTGTAACACTTATTTAGTTCTGTTATTCAGAATTCTAAATTCTCTAATGTTGATTTTATTGCTTGTATTTTCTTCCCTGAGCCATGAAAAATTATGAGGACAAATCTAAACTTGAAGTTGTATTTAATTATATTTTTTTTAAACTTAGATTTTTCTAAAGCTAGCCTGCATTCAGGAGGATACATGATAAAGGGAAGGACCAGGAATGTTTGCAGGACTGAAATGCAGATCTTCCCATGAAGAGGACTGCTAATGCTCCTCAATAAATGCATTCTACACAATCCTGTGGATTCACATTAATGTCTTACTTGCACTTTTTTCTTTTTTCATTTAAATTTGACAGCAGGTTTCCAGAATTTACTGAAGTGAAACCAGCAGTCAATCTAATTTCATTTTAATTTCTAATTGCCTTTTTTTAACCATACAAACTTTCCTTCATTTTGCTATGTTTCAAAGATTAAAATATGAAAATTAATCAAGATGGATCATTGATTAATTTTAAACTAGGTGCTCATAGTTACTGACAGATGTTCATTGTCAAATTCCCACAATTGATGGATCTTTGTTTAACAATTAGGGAAAAAAGGGCTTCCTTCATATTCCCCATAGCTTTTAAATGACAATTTATGTGGTTTTTTTTCTGTAGGTTGGAACCACTTTTTCTTTTTTTATTCTCATCTTTTCATTCTCATTTTTAATTCTCATCTTTTTCAGGAGTGTGTGGTCCAGAAGCCAAATATAAATCCATGTTGTGCCTTGTATTATTCTTAATTGAGAGACGTTTTGGTTCTTTTTCTTATTTCTTTCGTAGCTTCTAATGAAATACAGCTACTTCCTTCTGGATCCAGAATACCTGATGCTCCAAAAAGTCCATTGACAGAACTTGGTAATTACTTTCTTTGTAAATATGAGTAAAAACTTTACTGAAAAATTATCTTCACAAAGCTTGCTCCAATAAGAGAAGCAATGTAATTAAAACAGTAACACACAAACGTCTTATATTGTGCCCTTTTTATGGCACTATGTGCACCCCTTCATTACATAATTGGACCCTAAACTTAGTGCTTTGATGCTTGTGTTGGTGATGAGAGGGGATTTCAGCAAGTTATGAGCATCTGGAGTCCTGTGCTGGGAAGAATATGATGTTTGTGTCGATGCTTTCTTCTTCCTCCCTTCTTTCTCTCTTCTGCTGGGAGACATCTCAGGTGTGAGCTCACTGCATAGGGGACCATTTGTGTGTGGTAGATATTATTTCTGTGTCCTTGTTGTTACCCTAAGCTAATTTTTGTCCAGTTCCAAGTGTTCAGTTTTTACAGCTGATGTTATGAGCTGTTTGTGACAGGGGGTGTCCAGTGCCAGCCTTAGTCCCACCTCTCATCATCTCGTGCCTCTGCTCTCTACATTGTACCTCTACATTGTACCCTGTGTCTCCCTTTCTCAAGACCTCTGATTTCATAACAGGCCTGTATTTTCTCTGTGTTTGTGTTAAAATAGCTCATTCCACCAGAACTGTTGCTTGTTGCTGCTTTCAGTATTAACAGCTATTACACTAGTTACCTGGAGGGCCCTTGGATCAGATGCATTTCTCTGTCATTAAGCATAAGTCAAGAAGTTATTATAGAATAATGCTGGCTTATATTGGACGGCATACTTTTGCTTTATCCAGTCTGCAAAATTTTAAAATAATTTACAGGAACACCTCTTAGTTCTTGAAATGCATATTTGAAGTAGGTTCTCAAGAACATGAAAATAATCTTCATAATCTGTTCTTAATTTGATAGATTTTTTTGACAGCTCTTTTCCAGATATGTTTGAGGGGATGGGAAGAGACATCTGGTTAAATCCAATTACCAGCAGCACTGGAAAAAGAGAAACACAATTATTTAAGAGCCTATTTGCTATAAATGTACTGAAAAAATGAAAATTGCTAGGGATGTGAAGTATTTTTTCTTTCTATAAAAAAAGAAATAATAATGTAATCCTATGTTGGTGTCAGTGTTAAAGGTGGAATAATAGCAACATTTGAGGAAAAAATAAGTGTTTTCATTCAAGTATTTATTATGGTTTTGTTCTCATGTCCTCCCTTCCCTTTGAATAGTTTCACTTGGCAAAAGTGGGATTTCATTATGTGAGGCTAGGCCCAGCCATTGGGTCAAAGGGAGCATCTGTGCTCTTCATGAAATCACTGTTGAAGACAAACATATTCTGTGTGAGTCAGGGCATGGTAATACAGAGGAGATTTCTCTGCACTGTGCCTCTGCATGCCTTGATCACCTGCTGTCATAAAACCAGCAAAGAAAGCAAATTTTATTTATGAAGTTCAAATGTGTGTGACCTGTATTCTGCCCTAGTTCCCCTGAAGAATTTTTTTTCTTTATTTTTCTATCTGGATTGTGCTAGAGGGAGATCTCTCCTTTGTTTTGTAAACTTCCTGTGTGGTCAGTATATTTTGGATTCAAATGTTTTAGAAAAGATAGCTTTGTGAACATGCCTTCAATGTTCTGAAGCCTTTGGGAGATCTCTTATAGTTCTTGCTGGGTGTAAAAGGATCAATAGAAGCTTTTGCCAAAAGCTGTGAATCATATGGCTTTTGTTGGCAGCGTTTTCTTCTCTAGAAATATAGAATAGAATGGTTCCATTTGCATGGGACCTACAGTGATCATCTGGTCCAGCTGCTGAGTCCGACTACATCAGGATAGTAACCCAGGATCCAAATTGTTAATGTGATAAGGTAGATTGAAGGTAAATGGGAAAGCAGATTCAATGTGTTAAAAAAAAAAGGTAGTTCACTTTTTGGCATGTATATTCATATTTCCTGTACTAGAAATGAATACTACACCTAATTATTTGAATGGGGGTTTTAACAGGAAAAAAAATACTTACTGACCAGTACACACAGCTAAGTAGGATCAGTAGCAGCACAGTAGTGCAAAACCTGCACATGGTGGAAGCTTGTTCATGATGACTTTTGGGTAAGAGTGCCCAATTCCATCTTGACTCCATTTTCATTAAAACACACTTCAGGTTATCCATACTTATCCATAGTGAAGAAACCAGAAGGTCTTTGTAATAATCCTCATCACAGATGACAGGTAGTAGGTGCTGTTACTAACTTCAACAATTATTTCACTAATTTCATTGTACAACTCTTCTCTTATCTTTTACCATTACAACTTATTTTAAAATAGTTATACATATTGCAGTAGTGACTAGAGACCTGCAAGTGGTGTGAATATCAAATGTTGTGTTGTAGCTGTCTTGCTGTGAATAAAATCCTCTTAAGTAATAAGGATTCAGCTTGATTAGATAGGGTATGCTAAATATGAATGGTGTAGAAATTAATGGAGCAAAGAGACATTCAAACAAAAAAACCCTTACTAGTTACAGTTGTAATTAGATTTTGTATCACTTGCCAAAATAGTCTGTCTTGGAATGATAAAATTTGTTTCATGTTTGCTCTTAGCTACTCAGAGTCCAGCCTTGAAATCCATATCTCCACCTTCTGCAGAAAAAAGAGAGATGGAAATGGGTAAATAGCAGATTAGTTCTGTGGGGGTTTTTTTTCCATTATCTTGGCATCATATAGATCTGCAAATTTTAATCTTGGCTACCAACATTCACAGAGAGCTGCTTATTCATCATCCTTGTGTCTGCATAACCTCCTGAAGAATGTATCTGTTTTTAGTTTAAAAACTGCCCAAAGATAGCATTGTCAGTGTTGTCATATCTCATCATTATCTTATTTCTTTCGGTTATAGCTGCAGCTCTTACCCAGAAAACTTAATAAGAGAGAATTCCTGGCTGGTTAAGAGTTCTTTCAAGCATGTGGCACTTGCATTCCAAGGCCAGAAACCTGTTTTTCCAGCCATCCCCTCCCCTTGTCGCAGCCATTGTCTCACATCTCACTTGAGGCCATCTGCCATCTTGCTCAGCTTAGTGTGACCATCCTCTGGAAAAGCACAGCCTTCGCTCAGCTGTTTGATGCTAATCCACCAAGTCACAGCTCTCTCAGCATTTTAAGCTTAGATTCTTTTTTCAGCTTTTGAGGAAAAACAGACTGTTTCTTCGGGATCCAAACCGTCCAGTACCATGGAAGTGCAACCAACCCGACCTGGTAATGGTTCTCATGAGGTTAATCCTCCTGACAGTTGGGAATTTTTGGTGCAGACAGTGCCCCTCATTAAATAGTTTGTTCAGTTTGATGTAAATGAAGAATAACTGTGGGCATGAAAGTACTGCATCAAGTATTAAATATCTTTATGACACTCTATGTGAAGTACTAAGCTAGTGATTCAGGGGTTTTTTCCATGTTTGGCAACAGCATGTAATTCTTAATTTTAAAAGTAATTTTGACTTACTGTAAATATCAAATTTAAATATGACTGTCCTCACCTGAGTTTCATAAATAGAATATCCTGATTTGCTGAAGAATTCTGAGTTGTAAGAGATTAATGAAAACCAAAGAAATTCCAACATATTTTGAAACTATCACTCTTTTAGCCTTTCTGTATAAACATAGATATAATTCTGCCCAGATTTCTAAACTGGCACTATAAAAATATATCACTGAAGATTCAGATGCTTTCTCGTTAATCCTAACAAAATTTCTATTATGTGTTTTTATTACTTTAAAGATGTTATTTGCCTGGGGCAACAGACAGTTTTCCAAAATAAGGGGAAAAAATAATAAAATAAGAGCCAGTTAGAAAGATTTCATTTCCTCAGCATGCCAATAGTATGCCTGATGAATATGTTTTTGGAAGAAATTAACATTGAAGGAAATCCATTACTAGGGGGGATTGATTACAATAGTCAGCTGTTCACATGTCTGACAAAGGCAGATTGTTTCATTTGGTCCAGCTCCTGTTTTGTCATCCTTTTTCCTTCTCCAGTTTTAGCACCAGAATATTATCCTTCCTGATCCTAGAAAAAAATTCCATGCAGACGCAGTTTGCTACTTTTTATTAATAGTATGTTCTCCTATTTTGATTAGCTTTGTATTTTCACTTTTTAACTCTGTATTTCACCTTTTTATGTGAATCTGATAAAAATTTGGTCATAAAATGCTTTATGCATTAATGCGTGTTTTTGGAAATAATTTTCAAGTCACAATCAGTCATTGTACATTTCAGACTACCTTTCTGTGGAACATAATATGTTAAGTATTACCTAGAAGTTTTGTCAGCTTATGAAGGAATATGATGTTGTTGCAGAAGGTTTCTTATCACTTCAAAACAACACAGCATTATTTTTGCTTTTATTTTCCAGTTTCACATGACTTTCTTCATGTTATTTCTACTCCCCAGACTTTTACATCTTCAGAAATACCAGGCACTGGTAAATTATAATAATATTCTTTCAAAAGTCTTTTGATTGGTTGGTGATGAAAAGTTTGTTGCTGCCTCCGTGTTGATGATTTCAGACAGCCATTGCATACCACTCGCCTTGGGTGCTGCCCTACATCATATTTTTTTCAACTCCTGTATCACCATCCTCATTCCTGTGATCAGGCAGAGCACAAGTTTAAAACAAGTCTGTAAGTAGCTTGCGGTATGCAAGTATGATCAAAGAGGTGTGTCAGGAAAAGATTTCAATTTTGCAAGGCTTAAGGCTGTTCCTCTCAAGTAAAATACCATGCTTTTTAATGATAAGATTTTTCTATTTCTTTTATCCTGTCAATTTTTCACATACAGTTTGCTGTGATTTTTTTTCCTATGTATTGTCTTAAAATAAGTAAGTCAACACAACTAGGGCCAGACCTTTCCAACTAAGCTATACTTTGAGTTATAGCTTTGGGAATAGCTTGTTTTTCCTGTAGCCTTAGGTAGGTGAGAATGCCCAAGTTAACATCTTCAGCTAAGTAATTAGTGATCGTATTTGAAACGGAAAAGGAGGTTAATTTTGAAATAAATAAGCAAAAAATAATAAATGCTTTGCAGAGCAGTGGAAAATAAAGTTTCTCTCCATCAGATGTTCCTTCTTAATTTACTTACATGAAATTATTTCTCAGGTTTGGTTGGTTTTTTTGTTAGGGTTTTTTTTTTGTTTTGTTTTGGTTTTGGGTGTTTGTTTCTTTGTTTATTTTTGATTTTTTTTTGTTTTGTTTTTGGTTTTTTTTGTTGTTGTTTTTTTTTAAGAGCATCTAGAGATAATACTGATTTGGAAATATCCATGCCTGTAATTACTACAGAGCTTCAGCTGTTAGAATGGCATGGGGTAAAATTCAAAAGTTAACTTCAATATAGTTTCAAAATTTTGTTTTCTTTTTTTTTATCCTTGCTGCTATTTTTGGAAGTTTTGCATTGCTTTAGTTGTTACCATCACAGTAATTCATGCACTTATTGCTGTTAACTAGATTCTCATCTGCACTCATTATTCATCATTGTAGATGAAGAATCAGGGGCAAAGAGGAGAGTTCCCTTAAGTTGGCTGTGTTTGCTTTTTCTCATTGTTAAAATTCCCAGCTATGGACCTGCCTTTCTTAGTTTTGGGATTTTTTTTTTTCCTGTGCTGAGAGAACTTAGTTTTGAGAGGGAATAAAAAGCTTACACAGATTTCTGTGAAATGTTTCCATTAAAAGTCTAGTCCCCTAACTACTTTCTGGAACCAAAGGTGTTTTCTTACCATCTACCATGGTAAGAAAATGTTAAGATTATACAATCTTAATAACATAAGATTACAATTAATAACATTAAGATATAGAATCTTAATAATCTTAACAATATGTTAAGATTATTAGGTAATAAGAATTCTCATTAGTATGAACAAAATGGTTTCCACATTGACTTCCACACCAGCCTAACAGTCCATGAGAGTAATGGCAGAGTAATGCCCAGCTGACTTGCAAGAAATTTTCCCTGTGCTTCAATTTTAACAAAGCAATACCTCTTTGCAAAGTCCTGAGATATTCAGGTAGCTCTGAGACAATTAAGCCTTTTAACACAAGATTATCTTTCAAGATTTAGGTGAAAGGAACCCTCTTTCTTCAAGTGTCACAACATCTGGCATGCCAGAAATGCCACCAATCTCAGCTGGTAATCATATCTGTCTTCTCTGTAGTTCTCCTCACATCTAGGCAGCCTCTCAAAAGACACAGCAATGCTTTGCTAAATGAAGGATTTATTCTGACTTGCTCTGTATAAAGCTGGAGAGACAGAAACTAGTTGCACCTGCTGCAACGTTTGAGACATTTGAAATGAAAATTGCAATGATAAGATTAAATTTTTTAATGTTGTTAAACAATTACCTTGTCCATATTTTCTTGTGAAGGTTCGTTTGTATAGTTGGACACACACACACACACACACACACACATAGATATATATATATGCATGCATATGTGGAGGCCCATCATTGTTAGGAATGGTTAAATAAATGTTAACATTTCCAATTTGCTCCTTTTGCACATTGGAAAAGCTCCTCCACAGGCAGAAAAAAGATTTATCTACAATTCTTAAGCAGGTGCAAACACTTTGGTTAGTGAGTCATTGAGTGTTGCTAGGAAAGGATTGAGTCAAAGAGAACTGAACAGAAGGATTTCCAAAGACTGGGAATATCAAAATATCCCAGAGGAATCAATCAGCACTATTTCCTTACTGCCATCAGCTGCATCCAAGGACATGTTTGTAAACTGTCACAAGTCTTGCCTGCCTTAAACCTGAAACCACGCCCAAAGCAATGGCCAAATATGCACGGTAGTAGTGAGTACACATAGTCCAGATTTGACACTAGTTTATGTATTAGGTTGCGCATTCTCCCTGTGCAAAATTAGGATAACAGGGTATGATGAGATCACTTGAGTAAAGGGACTTGTTTTCAGTGCACAAAGTGTTGAGTTGTACAAGTGTAAGATGTGTTAGAATTCTGTGGAAAATATTGCTTTTTTTCACTTGCTTGCAAGCATTTATATAAAGAGAGATATAAACATTACACTGTGTTTTATTAGTGTCAGGGACAGTAATTTCTGACCCATAGAATGAAGGATTTCATTGATTGTAGGGAAAAGTGAAATCAGATCTTAAATTCTAAATACATAAGTGTGATTCTTACTTGCCATGTTACCTCTGCAAGAACTGTTAGAATCTGTCAAGAAAGTGTAAGGAGTGGTTTGGTGAATTGGATATTTTGGCATTTTTCTGCTGATGTAGAGCCATTTAGCCACTGAGGCTCAGGGAGTATTGTGTTAGTTGCAACCACCGCAAGACACTTAACTGCGGGTTTGAGTCACGGGGTACTGGCAGGAAAGGGCAGGTGTGGCCCTAAATACAGACTTCTAGGGTGTTGTACTGCTGGTGCTGCTTGTACTGCTGTGGCAAGGCTGAGTGCATATCTCAAGATCATTTCTGTGTCTGACCATAGCAACCGGGAGACCAGATCTGGAATGGACCTCGTCTGCTTCACGGGAAACCACAAGGATGGGTAAATAGCCAGCGATTCCCTCCTTCACTGCTTACTTTGGCCATGCTCTTCTCTGCAGCGATGAGCCTCTGCAGATGTGCTGGTGTCCCAAAGAGTGGCTCAGAGATGTGGCTGGACCTTTATGGCTCCTCACTAAAAACCATTCTACCTGTAAATGTTCTGGGGAACCATGTCTAGGTTTGCTCTCATGCCTTGGCTGCCAATGCCAGTTGAAAGGCAGCATTGTGCCACCACCATGGGCAGTGGAGCTGTGACATGGTAGCCTGGCCCAAGCAGGGCCACGTCCCCTTCTTTATTGCTCTGTCTTGATGTGACCTGTGTGACAGCAGCCTGTGTGAGGACCTGAAGGCAGTGTCTGTGTTTGATCTTAGCCGCTCGAAGACCGAGGCCGAAGTCCACCACTCCTTCCTCCCTGGCAACTCAAGAAACTGTGATGGGTAACTAGCAACAGCCTTCTTTTCCCATTGTCTGCCATCCCTTTCACTGCCCATCACGCCTCCCACCCCAAACCACCTGGCATCCTTTGTCATCTTCCGTGGAGAGGATGGAATCCTGTTGGTGCAGCTTGGCTTGCCAAAGCACTTGCCACACCGGTTCTGCAATTCTCTTGTTTGATCCCACACTTTTTCCATGGCCGATGAGCATTTCCTGCAGGAAGCACGTGGCATACTGCAGAGGGACCACATTGTTGCTGCTGGCCCTCAGCTGCATTCCCCTGCTTCTTTGTGTTTGGGTGGTAGATCTTGCTTTCTCTGTTGCATTCAAACATGACAGCGTTCCTATGACGCAGACCCAGCTGGGCTGCCACAAGAACACAGCAGAGCAGCTCAGCCGCCCTCCAGGCATTCCTTGGGCAAGGCTGCGCCTCTTGGTTTCCTCACCACTGACATTCAAGGCGGCTGGTTTTCTTCTGCCCATGCCTTTCCATTGCCATCACCTGGAACTGGGAATGCTCTGCCCTGCTGCTGCTTTTGAGGCTGTGTTATGTTTTTTTTTTTTTTAAATTGATACCTCATTTCAGTTTTTGGTGAATATTGGTAAGTTTCTTCATGGTTTAAGGCACTGGCAGCCTCTGGTACTAACAATATTTCTTCCAGATCTGACAACTATGCAAAGCAGCAGTGTCCCAAGAGATATTGTGCTTTTAGCCAGCCTGTTACTGCTCTTGGGCCTACATTGGGATAAACCTTCAGTGTCGATATAAATGGGGCCATACGTGCAAACCATATTTAGTTCAGGCATTGCCTGTGGCACTTATCAACAGTGGTGGAGATGCGTGTGGTAACAGCTTCTTTCACACTGGCAGGTGTGCAAGACCAGTCCTGTGTCTTTGCAGTATTTTGTGGCCCATGGGGTAACAAAGTATTGCATGAGCAGGCTGGTGTGCCTAAAATCTGAAGCTGAGTGCAAGTTAAAAATTTAATGAACAATAAAAAGTGACTTGGCACTTTTTTCTGGAGCAGTCTTGCTTTCATATCAACTGAGATATTCATACACTTCAGGATCTTTTCCAGGGAATTTACATTCCCTACTTTGCTTTACTTGAAGTAGTTTTCTGAGCTTTCTTGTTTTTATAGTGGAGAAATCAGATACTTGTAATTATAACAAGGAATATAAATTTGGCTGGCCTAAGGATATTCATTTCTGTTTCCTTGCCTGGTGATGTTGTCTGAATCACTTTTTATGTTCTCTTATTTTTGCCAAATTTTTAAATTGGATTTTTTCCAGTGTCTTCATCTCATAAATTCACTTTCTCCTTGACTCCTCTTGGCCACTGTTCGTGTACTTTTTCAATCTTGCATTCCTTCTAACCACATGGGAATTTTTTCCATATTCCTTGTGCCATTCTGTTTAATTTTTTGCATTATATTTTTGTGGGTTTACACATCTTTGCATATTAACATCTTTCTTTTTAAAATTCTGCTAATTTTGCAAAAATTTTTTTTCTGTTCTTTATTGTTTGTACTCTAAACCATTGAGTACATGGTTGCAATGATGCAATGGTGTGATGGTTCATGTATTTTTTAAATAATAAGCCACCATTTTTTCCAGCCTCACATGACTTCCTTCATGTTACTTCCACTCCCCAAACTTCTACATCTGGAAAAATGTCAGAGCGAGAGACTGGTAAATGGCATTTATTTTATACCCTATCCTTGATTTTCTTGATATTCAAGTGCAATTTTTATGCCTCTTATATATCCTCTATTTTTAATGTTATCTCCAGTGGTCTTTCATTTGTTCATTACGGCTTCATGTTATTTGTAGTAATCACCAGTGTATAATTAGGAGTTCTAGCCTCAAGTAAGTTATCCTGATACTACCTGGCACTTTCAGGCTAGTATTCTCTTACTGAAGGGTGGTTCTGATGCGGTCAGTGGGGCAGAATTTAGCACTTAAGAGGAAACCCTCAGGCTCTGATGAATTTTGGAATATCAGCATAACAGTTATCCTTTGCAGTGGGAATGTTTTTCTCTACCTAGTAGACACATTTAAAGAGATCCGCTGGTTGGTCTTTGGTTTCCTGTTTACAACTTTTTGAAGTAGTCTCTGATATTTAAAAGGCTGCTTCAGTACATAATTTTGGTCCTAAAAGTTATTTCTACAGTTACTTCTGCTAATAATTTATTATTTCCCTCCATTTATTCATGAAGAATATAGATTTTTAGGCACAATGTATGCATTTTTATTTGAGCATGAGATTTTCCCAGCGTATAGTCATAAAACATAGTAGAAGGTTGCTGTGAGGTTCTCATTCTTGTTTCTGTTCATGCTAGCATGATTTAACAAGTGACATTTTATTACATCAGTGTATCAAACATCACTCTCTTTCTGGGGCCCAATCAAATGGAACTGGGTAAATGAGCATTGACGTAGTTCATCATCTGAAGATTAGCTAACTACAACATACATACGCTATTTGTGTTTTCTCTGGTCTTATTTGGCTACAGTTTGGTCAGTGTTCTTTTAGCTTCCCTTCACAGATAAATTTAGAAAAGCTTTTATCTATTCAGAATTCACACTGAACACAAACATGATACAGCTGTACTAATACTCAGTGGGTGGTGCTGACAGTTATCTTGCCTCTGCATGAACACAAGATCTTTGTTTTCTTTTGAAGCTGAGAGCTCCATCTATCCAAGGTCATTTCTATCTTCAGTAGATGGAAAACTTTTAGCAGTTTATCAGGCATGACTTTGCTATTGTCTGCAGTATTGTTCTCACCAAGTTAGCACAGCCTTCTCTCTTGATTTAAAGGACTGGGCTACTTAGATTACTTATTACTTGGCATTACACTTTATTAAATCATGAGTATTCTTAACATTAAGAGTACCCACTCTTCATTTTTTCATATAATACCACCCATAGAAATGTTTTCTTAACATTAAGAGTACCCACTCTTCATTTTTTCATATAATACCACCCATAGAAATGTTTTTTCATGCTCTAGGCTGCATAATTTCTCTAATGGAAATGGTGGTATTAGGGGCTGATAGAATCTGGGTTTGTTGGGGGTTTTTGGTTGGTATTTTTTGCTGTTGTTGGTTTTGTTTGTTTTCTGTTTTGTTTTGTTTTGTTTTTTTTTAATTTGTATTTTTATTAACATATTGTCAGAAAAACCTGAAAATATTTTTAAGCCATTATCTGGCAAAGTATGGTCTGTCTCAAAAATCCTGCTTCTATCAAAGTAGTTTTGTGGCAGTTGCAGGGAAAATCTCATTCTTGGCCAAAATATGGATTTGTAGGAAAATGTTTTGATACCACCTGTGTGAAAATTGTGTGCATGCTGTATCAAAATAATATTGGGCATTTGCAACTCCTTATTTAAAAGATTTGTCTGGCACATCCAAACTAAAATGTAGAGGAGAAGGGATTTGCTGTCAGCTGTTGCTATTGGATAGAATTTTAAAATCAGATGCAGACAGTTGGCTTAGTAGCTAATGCCTAAAACTAGATGTTATGTGACCAAAAAAAAAAAATTACCCCATGAAATAAAAATGTAGTAGGTTACCGCAAATACCAATCAGAAGTGTGTATACAAGAATCATAAAATAAATGTATGTCCCTTGGACCTGCTAAGAACTGAAGATCCCCTTATCTAAAGGCTGAAAACTTACTGTTTCAAGATTATTTTCATATTTGATCTTAGCAACCCAGGGATCAGGCCTGAAAATCACTTCTCATCCCTCCATGGAAACCAGAGGGAGCGTGATGGGTAAATAGCTTATAATTCCATTAGCTTTTCCATTGCTTGCCATCCCTTCCAGCAGCTGTGGAGAGTGCCAAGCTTCATTCAGACACGTTGCTGCGAAGACTGCTTGATGCTGGGCTTTCTCCCCACACTCCACCCCCACTCAACTCAGCCATTTCTGTGCAATCTAAGCTGGAAAATAATTCCCCACAGTGACTGAATAGCAATCCACAAATAGACCTCTGCTAGTTTATGTTGTCTCTAGGTTTCTTCTGGCAGCTGCAGTTTTCTTTCAAAGAAGAAGTACTTTAAAAAAGAGGCCGGTGAGGAGAAGATTGCCTCACATGAGCTACTGGAATTGACCCTCCTTCATTTCACACCAGCTTCAGTGGTCATGTAACACTTCATTTCTCAGTTGATCTTTACAGCTGCTGTCACCTTGCTTGATCTCACATCAATGTTTTCTTGAACAGCACAACAGCTAATGGCCAAATACTATGGATCTGAAGCCAGTTCTAATTTTAACTCCAGATTTTCTTTCAGATTTTGATGAAAATCAGCACATTTCTTCAAGACCTGAAATGTCAGGCATCCAGGAAATACCATCAGCTATACCTGGTAATACTTGAAAAATGTGATTTTAAACAGAAATTGCCCCAGAGATTTTTATTTAAAAAATTGTATATTGTTAGTTAAGTTTAATATGACTCAAAATAGCTTCAGAACTGTTGTAATTAGGTTGTTCTCTCAAATACCAGACTAATTTAGGACATTTTGCACGGAAACGTAAATATTCTCTTCTAATTTTGGCCTATATTCCTGGTATATTTACAAGTCTGTATTGCTGTGTTTGGTGTTAATAGGCATGTCTTATTACATAAAGTAGAGTTCTAAGTTGCAATACTGAAGAGGGGTAGAGTGAAAGGTATTATAAGTTTTGTATAAATCCCTGAATGAAACCATTCTAAGTTGGGACTGTCGAGTAAGTCCCATAGAAATAGCAGGAACAATAGCAATGGTGGAGAATAGACTCTAAAATACTTTAATTTGAATATATTTAAAGCAGTGATTAACTTAGACATTTGGCTAAGAGAAAGGGAGTCTGCATAGGCAGGAGATTAATAGAAACAAAAATGTGCAATGTCAAGTGTATTGCTGTGTTGCTTGAGTACAACTTTGCAAATAAAAGGCAGAACACTGTAGTTAAAGAAAACATTTGCAACAAATCGCTCCTGACCAGACACT